AAAATATTCAGCCGAAATGATTAGGATTCGGCAATGAATTTGCATCATCTTCAAACTTCAATCAATCAATCCGGAGAAACCGTACAATGGATCGATCTGCCGTCGTTATTACTTGTATATTGAGGTACAAAAAACCAGTAAAATAATTCTCTAGCGCATCATATTGCTCAATAATTCTACTTAGAGCGGAAATCAGTGACAGCCACCTGGTCTGTGATGAATGCAATAATTTGTGGGGTTTGATGTTAAAAAATGTTTGAAATTCTTGAAATTACGAAAATCTTTTAAAACTGCGATGCATATAATTCCCCGATAGCATTAAATGTTTATCAAATATTTTTTAAAAATGTTTGATAAATATTTGTAGCGACAGATTTTTTAATATTTATAAATATATTTCTTATATATTTATAAAATATTCATTATAGATGTTTGTAGTATATATAATTCATATATTTTTGCGATAGTTTTTCCAAATATTTAGAAAATATACGAGGAAAGATTTTTAAATCAATTTTATATTTTGATGAAATATCTATTTTTCGTAAATATGTATGGATTTTCAAGCATTAATCTGGTACATATTTTCAGTTAAGGTAGAAAATTCTTCATTGGTTATTTTAGCAAAACCTGTAGGAATGCTTATATAAATTTGGGTTTATAAAGAAAATTCATTCTAGATATAATGATTTAATTTGCTAAAAAAATATTATCAAAAAAACATTCTAAGCCTCTTCTGCATCTTGCAAGTCCACTCCTCTGAAAAAAAACAAGCTTACTAATTATGAAGTATTATTGAATACATAAGCTGCTTTCCAGTGTATTTATTGGTGCTGAGCATGATGAGTTACTCCGAGTAGCTCAACTGGGTCACTGAAAGCAGCTCTATAATGCACCTAAAAGGACCCCACATGTTATGCCTATGATAGTTCGAGATTTGGTTGGTTCTTAAGAAAATTTAGTATGTGATTTTAGATATCTTGATGAAAAATGTCCATGGGCACATCTTGATCCTTTGACTAACACTTATTGATTTTGTTGAAATGTGACTTTTTTTTAGTACTACACTTCAAGGCTAGTTATTTATGGTCTTATGAATACCTTTATACTCAGCTGGCACAATAATGTTTACTAGTCAGATAAATTAAGCTATGTAATTATCGAAACACTTACCCTTTTCCACAAAATAAAAAAACACTCAAATAATGAACCACTTGGAGATACACAGGAAGCACGCTATAATAGTTGTCGCAAGTAAAATGGCTGCCGGCAAACGGGTCGTCTCAGGCGGCTTGCTATTATTCCATTGGTCGCTCGAGGTCACACGCACATGCGCCGTAGCCGAAAATATTTAATGAATATTTTCTAAATATTGGAGTTTTAATATTTTCCATTGATTTAAACGTAAATATTTAATTAATATTATAAAAAAAATATTGTATTTAAAATATTTAAAAAATATTGAATAAATATTTAATAAAAATATTATATTATAAATATTTATTAAATATTTGTTCAGGAAAACAAATATTTAATTTAAGTAAGATAAAAATATTATTAATTATTATATAAATATTTAATGAATATTTCCTGCTATCGGGGTTCTTACCAACTTTTGGTTGCATTTCTATATTTTTTCATTATATTTTTCAATTTATTTTGTTTGTCACAAACCTTTTCAGAAATATGACATTTAACAACAGTTTTCACTAGATCTAGTGAAATTTCACTAGATCTGGCAACATTGACCAGCAGCAACACTGCAGCGTGCTGCAGGCTATCAGTGTTGACAGCTCATTGAGGCTAACAGCCGCCGTTGTAAGTTGCAGCCAGTGTTGCCATACGTAGCGGAATTCCTCTATTTGTAGCGGATTATTTTGAGAATAGCGGCGTAGCGGCGGTAGAGCAAATTAGCCCAAAATGTAGCGGAATTTATTACATACAAAACTATCATATTTATTTCACTGTTTTAACGTTAATAACGTTCTAAATCCTAAATAGGCAGTGGCTAGAGTCTGATTTATTATCACATTAATAATAAAATTGGTGCATTTGGTGCCGCTTGAGCCATCTAGGAACAGAGAAGAGAATTATTCCACTTGCCCTTTTTTTCAATAACAGATGGCGTACGTACTGCTTTCAATACTAATCGTTTCTAACAGGTCTCAGAAGGCAGACATAATATTAGGTTTCTCACTTTGTATTGTATTTTTCAGCTCTGGGTATATACTGTTTAGTTTCGTTTATATTAGTGTTCTTATTTTTGTGTTGATCATTTTATTGATATATCATTTGTTGCAGATTTTAATATTAAATTTACTGGTAAGCTTAAATATCTAACATATTATAGTTTGATCCAGAAATAAATCTTAGTCGCGAAATTTGTTTTTAACGTTTTTTCTTCTGGAAAATAGGAATAATGGAAAGGCGACAGCAGACCATTAACGATTTTTTTGATAAAAATCCTTCTAAAAAACAAACGGTGAAACCAAACGTGGCCGTACCATCCACTTCGACTGCATCTGTGTCGGACTCGGAGCATCCCGAACCTGAATACAGACAAAATCAGGTCTGAGCCTGATAATTCGACTTGCGAATCTCAGGATAACCAAGAGCCAGAGCAACCTGTTAAGAAAAAGACCCGAAAACAAATGTTTACTTCATCATGGCTAGAAGATCCGTTATTTAAAGGCTGGTTGGGACCTATTGAAAATGACAAGTTGAAAGCAAAATGTAAAGCTTGTAATCAAATAATGGGTGCTAAAAAATCAGATTTAGTGAATCATTCGAAATCAAAAAGGCATACCACTAATGTACAAGCAATTTCGAATGTAAAAACGTTAGATAGCACTTTTCAGTCTCGAGAAGCACGTGAGTTGAAAAAACGGCAAATATTTGCTTGCTTAAGATATAGTCTTTTAGTTGTAAGTCATTATATAAGTTTTAGAACTGTTGATCATATAACAGGAGTTAGTCAATTATGTTTTAAAGACCCAGATCTATCTAGCTCACTTAAATTAAAAAGATCCGAATGCATAAGTATAATTAAAAATGTGCTGGCTCCTTTTATTAAAGACGAAATAATTTCAGAATTGGAAAATAAAACCATTTTCTATTTTATTGGATGAGAGTACAGACCTGAGCAATACAAGACTACTATGCATTCTTGTAAGGTATATTTATAAAAATTCAATCAAAACCCATTTATTAGATATAATTAAAATAAACGCAGATGAAGGTACCGCCAAAAGTTTATATTCTCTTTTTAAAAAATGCGTTATATCCAATCAAGTAAAAATTACCAATATTGTTGGATACTGTTCCGACAACGCTAGTGTTATGATGGGCAATAACGAATCTTTCAAAACTTATCTTTTAAAAGACAATCCTAATATAATTGTCAATGACTGCATTTGCCACTCTGCTCATTTAGTGGCGGTGGCGGCAGCTGAAAAGATTCCAAGCAACGTTGAAGCTCTTTTACAAAACTTATATTCTTACTTCTCAAGAAGCCCAAAAAGGCAGTGTGTTCTTGAAGAATTACAGGAATATTTCAAAAAGTCATAATTAAAAATGTTAAGCCCTAGTAAAACAAGGTGGCTTGCTTTATCCAAATGTGTTGATAGAGTTTTGGATTAGTGGGACATCTTGCTTGGCCTATTTAGATTAGCTTCCATTGAAGACAAAAATCCTGTTGCAAATGTAATACTTAATGAGTTACAGAATCCATTTGTTAAGGCGTATGTAATGTTTTTTAAATTCGTGTTGCCCATTTTTAACCAATTTAATGCTCTCTTTCAATGAGAGAAAGTTATGCTCAATATCATATCAATAGAGAGTGAGCGATTTATACGTCATCTATGTATAAACTTTATGCGACCAGAATATTTTAAAAATGAGAAATTATATAATCTAAATCCTAATGATCCCCACTGCTTATTACCAATTGAACAAGTGAATGTTGGTCCGCATACAATGGATGCAATAAAACACTGCAATAACACGGCAATCGAACAATTTAAATTAAAATGTGTCATATTTTACCAAAAATCGGTAGAACAGTCCCTTAAAAGATTTCCTATTAAAGACAACTTCTTTTCAGAGCTAAAGTTTCTCTCACCCGTTGATGTGATGAACAATGGTCTTATTATAAGTGATACCTTTCATGACGCCGTTTTAAAAAAATTTACCCTTCATATTGAAACCGAAAAGGCAATTTTGGAACTAAAGAAAATATGTATTTATTTTAGTGATAGTGAGAAAGAGGGAATTTTAAAAACAAAAAGTAATGTCATTGAATTTTGGTCGTTTGTAAACGACCTCAAGAATTTTAATGACGAATATTTATTTCGCAATATAGGTAAACTGGCTCTAATCATTTTAACATTGCCTCATGGAAACGCTGATGTTGAGCGAACTTTTTCTTATATGCTTGATTACAAAACAAAAAAAAAGAAATAAAATAATACCATCAACTTTGCACTACTTACAATTAAATTAGACTTGGAATCAGAAAAACAGTGCTGTTTATCCTATAGTTTTAATGAGAATCATTTAAACAAATATAAAAAGAATTTATATAATGTAAATAAGGAAGAACAAGCTGAAGAAGTAATTTCTGATTCTGACTGTGATTAAAATAAGCAAACGTAGGCATTTCCACGTTTCCGCTTCGTCTTTGTCCTTATTTTTTTTTTCTATTAAGATTAAGATATTGGTGATAGTTTCTATTTTTTTATTAGTTCCTAATTCTAAACCAAAGACAGTTTTGTTTTTTTAGAGGTATACTTTTTATGTTTTTACGAAAAATTGCAATTATATTGTTACTGTTTGTATTTTTAGTAGGGTTTTTAGACAGAGTTTAAACAAAAGTAAATACGTAAAAAATATATTTGTTGTTTATTTTAAGCCTCCCCCCCCCCTTAAATTTTTAGACCGTAGCGGCATGTAGCGTAATTTTGCGATACGTGTGACGGATATTTTAAAGTTCGCTCTGGCAACACTGGTTGTAGCGCCATGCGCCACTGTCAACGGTGTCGACCTTGTGTCAACACTTGTGATCTTGTGAATTGTGTTGTGAATAGTTTATAAAAATTAGCTACATCCAGAATATTTTCAAAACTTCCCAGGGCCAGTGAAATGGCTTCTTTGTTGGAAGCCGAGCGCCCAAATATCCGCATTGAGATTGAAAATGATGCGGTCAATTCTGAACAGATGGAGGTAGATGAGGACAGACTGCTGGAAGAAAACGAGGAAGGCGAAATTATAGATGACGAAAACATAGACAGTGTAAATATAAGGAGCAATTTGCAGATAAGCATACAAACGAAACCAGATATTGTGGTAATTAACACATTCTTCAAAAGTTTACTGATAACAATTAGGTTATGTTTACATTTTAGGACAAACTTAACACAAAAACTATATTCACCACTGGGATAAACATTTTCGACAAACAAGAGCAAGAGAAGCTACAGGTAATTTTTTGTATATTACAGAATTCACATCATGACTGAGCAGAAAACATCTCGCATTGCATAAACGTCCACCTTGTGAAATGTGTTTTTGCAATTTTTTTTTCGTTGTTGGAGAGAACAGTAGGCCCTGAACTCTACCACATTTATTCAGCATAACCCAAATTTACCAATATAAAAGATAATATATATCTATACATCAACAAAACAAAAACAAGGGTTCTCAATAATATATAAGCGCCTAAGTTTAAAAAGCTTGTATGCGCAAAAACAGACCAAAACAGTAATTAATTGATAAATATCGTGCAATATATATTTTTGTATAATATCTCTCAACAATACAAACAAAACATGAAACACGATATACACAAAATGAAAGAAAATTTGATATTTTCATAGATTTAACTTAAGATCACAGAAAAAAAATGTCACAATAATATCAAAAAGAAAAAAAAGAAACAAATAGGCAGATCAATCTACTTCAAAGCAACTTAAAATAAACGCATAAATTGTTCAAGATTTTCCCAACATATTAAACGAAACATTAAATTTTTTATTATTTCCAATATTCCTGATATTAGCAGGAATCAAATTGTAAAATTTAGGTGCAAGATATGTCACAAAACGCAAATTTAAATCTCGCCTGGACTGCGGGACGTTCAGGTTATGTGTGGTGCTTGCTCGGGTCATATAATTGTGGAACACATAATTTGTATTTAATTTCCTACTTGCATGTACAAAACTACATACTGCAAGGATACATAAGATTTTAATATTGTTTATTTCTTGAGAATAAAGTTGCATAGTGGGATATAGTCTAGGTTTTTTTAGAATAATCCTTACAATATGGTTCTGCACCACTTTTAACTGCCCAAGATTTGAACCGTACATCCCACCCCACCCAATAATGGTACCACAAGTGCTTTGTAAATCATTAATGTTCAGTATGTTACGAAGAGCGTAGAATTTATGGATGAAAAATCTAATTTTTTTGCTCAAATACAGCACATGTCGGTCCCACTTCAAGTGCTTATCAACAACAACTCCAAAATATTTAATTTCAATTACTTCTTTGTATGCAAATGCTGACAGCATGCAGTGGCAATCACAGAAGTACCACATAGCAAAATTTGTTTTGTAGCTGTCATATTGTATGATCACAGTGCAGCGAGGCAATTAAACTATGACATGTACGGAACCATATGTTTACAATGCAAAGCGATTTAGATTTACCATAATAAGCCCTAGTGGCCTGAACACTTTTTTGTAGATATCCTTAGGAAATAGCTTTTATCCTTAATCAGGGATGATGGCAACTCACTTTTATCAAACCATTTCACTTTTCATTGAAAACATTTCTTATTGTGGTTTATGAATGTTTTAGAAGGAGCTGTCCTTCTTCTCTCAAGCCCCACAAAATGAAATGAAGAGAATTTTTTTATAAAAATTAACTATGACAAAGTTGTTCACATACAGGGTTCTCCACAAGCTGAACCAATATGTATTGCATGAGAAATCACTGGGATTAGTTGAAATCTATGTTGAATTTTATTTAAGCTTTGCTATTTTAGAAGTCGACGTCAAGCCGAAACCGGGTGATAGGCAAAATCGTAACAGGTATCAGAAAAACATTTAAAAAAAATTTATGTATGTGTTTTGAAAATTATAGGTCTTTGCAAAAAATATAGAAATTTCACACCCTACGGCAGTCTGTCAACTCCTGTTACTACAAATATTAACTTTTTTTTGATTTTATTTTTACAATGTAATGATAAATAATGCATCTTCAAACTGGTGTCTCAACCTTACTGCCAACTTTTCTCGTTCAGGAAAAATTGCCACTTATTTCCTAACCAAGTATTCCAAAGTAAAAATTTGCTCAACTTTAACTGGCTGTACTGGATAAAAATGTACTACGAGAGTTTGGCAAGTAACGTTGGCGCATTTAATAAGGATTCCAAAATGGTATAACACATGTACCTGCATAACTTACACGTGTGGCACGTAGCAAACCCACATTTGATGAGAAGATAAATCTCAATATCGCTTCAAGATAAACCATTGGACAGGAATCTTAAATGGTAAAATAATCGGTCCGTTTGAGTTCCCAGAGACTTTGACTGCTGAAGTTTATTTGGATTCTTTGAAAAATCATGTACAAAATTTATTGGTGGACGTGCCACTGAGTATTTACAGGGACATGTGGTTTCAGCATGATGGCTGCCCAGCGCACTATGCACTCTCAGTGAGAGAGTATCTCGATCAAAACTTTCCAGGCAGATGGATAAGGCGGTCTGGTACAATACCATGGCCAGCCCGATCACCTGATTTGAATCCTATAGATTTTTTTACTGGGGAACTGTAAAAGAAAAAGTGTATTTCAAGCCGATTCAAAATGTAGCTGAGCTACGGCAAAGACTATTGGAAGCAGCTGAGTTTGTTAATAACCGTGGATTCGCTCGTTTAATAACCCGATCTTTTTTAAGATGATGTCGAGCGTGTATTGCGGCTGATGGAAAACAGTTTGAGCATTTGCTGTAAAGGTAAATCATCATCAGCAGCATTTTGACGCCCACTGTTGTGCAAACAGTTATCCTTAAGGGTCCTTGTGCGTTTTCATAACCGCTGTTTAATTAGGAAATTTTGAAAAATTTTTTTTTTTTTAAATAAAAATTGTGCATAAGTTAACGAGTAATCTTCTAAGTGTTATACCATTTTGGAATCCTTATTAAATGCGCCAACTTTTAAGGTTACTAGCCAAACTCTCGTAGTACATTTTTTTCCAGTACAGCCAGTTAAAGTTAAGCAAAGTTTTACTTTGGAATACTTGGTTGGGAAATAAGTGGCAATTTTTCCTGAACGAGAAAAGTTGGCAGTAAGGTTGAGACACCAGTTTGAAGATACATTATTCCCATTGTAAAAATAAAATCCAAAAAAAGTTAATATTTGTAGTAACAGGAGTTGACAGACTGCCGTAGGGTGTGAAATTTCTATATCTTTTTCAAAGACCTATAATTTTCAAAACACATACATAAAATTTTTTTAAATATTTTTCTGTTATGACTTTCCCTATCACCCGGTTACGGCTTGACGTCGACTTCTGGGACATACAGGGTGTTCATTTGAAAACTTTCCACCATAGATTTATCGAAAACTACTGAATAAAAGAAAAAAGACTTCAAAAGATACCTCGCCCCCTTTCACCCTCTGCCCCCAGCGTCCTCCCCTTAGAATTTTAAATGACAAAGGGTACCGAGTAATAGCTTGTTTTAAAGGTCTTTCAAAGTTCTTTATTTTGACGTTTGATTTTTCAAAATTGGTCGATTTATTTTCAAGAAAATTATAAAAATCTTTATTTATCCTAATTTGTTCAGATAGAAAACAAAAACACCCGAAAATATCACTTTATCTCAATAAGTGTTCAAAATGTTGCCCGTTATTGGCCAAACAATGATATAGGTGGTGTTCAAATTCCTGACGGACATTTGGAAGAACATGTGAGATATGACAGCTTTCGATGATTTGTTGACGAAGTTCATCCAGACTTTCAGGTTGGGGAGTAAACTCAATATATTTCAAATGGCCCCATAGAAAAAACTTTATTGGTGTCAAATCAGGAGACTTAGTAGGCCCTCTTTGCCCTAACCATTTATCTGAAAACTCGTCATCTAGCCATTGCTGAACCGGAAGAACATATTGAGTAGTAGCGTCATCTTGCTTGGAATATATTTCAGCCTCATCAACTATAGGATTTCCATCCTCTTCCATTTGGTTTTCAATGGTTTCAGTGATAAGCAGGTTGATGATATTTCCCAACATATCCAAATAAATGTCTCTCAATCACTTCGTTTCCTAAAATGCCTACCCATACATTAAGTTTTTGGGGGTACTGGGTATGCCCTTCTACAAAATCATGAGGATTTTCATTGCTCCAATACCTGCAGCTATGCTTATTAACAAATCCATTCAGGTAAAATGTGTATTCATCACTGAAGCAGATATTCTTTACATGAATGGTACTACGAGCCCCTTCCCACTTCAGTTGGCCCACTTTAAGATTTGTACCAAAATATGCCTTTATAAACTAAACATGACGAAACTATTTACTTCTAAAACAATTTATTTTCTCAAAAACATTTTAGGTACACTCTAGTCGTAAAAACTACATATTTGAGATCACTTAGACCTATAACTAATAGAACATCTGAACAAATAAACAATGTGTGAATAAATGCGCGAAGTTAACAAAGCAACAATTGAAAGATTACCATTGGTAACATCACCTTTATTTTTTATTACGGCTGAAATTATTTGGGGCATAGTGTTAACCAAGTTTTGGCAAAAATTTGGTGTAAAACAATCCCATATTTCTTGAAGCTTTTGTCTCAGTTCGGTGATTGTACGAGCAGGATGTTGTTGTAGAACCCTTTTCATCTCGTGCCACAAAGTTTCAATAGGTGACAGATCTGGACTGCTAGAAACCCATTTCAAAAGTGGTACATTATTTTCTTCCATCCATTTTATAGCCTTTTTTGAGGTATTGCACGCTGCACCATCTTGCTAAAACACAAAATCTTGGCCGGATGTCAAACATTCTTCCATCACTGGTAAAAGCGATTCTTCTAAAATTGCCAAATATTTATTTTTATCCACATTTCCATCAATAAAATGAAGTTTTTCTACTCCTTTTGATGACATACTGCCCCAGACCATAATGGATGCTGGAAATTTCACTTTTCTCTTCAAACAGTGAACATGGAATGCTTCATTTTTTTTGTGAATAACTATACTGCGAGTGTCACCAACACAAACTTCGAATCGGGCCTCATCACTCCATTGTATTGCACACCATTGTTGAGGTGTCCATTGTCTATGTTCTTTAGCCCATCTAAGCCGATTTTTCTTTTGCAGTGGAGTTAATAGTGGCATTTCTTTGGCCTATAAACAAGTTGTGCAACTTTAGGGTTTTTACTTCACTTTTTTTATAAGAAAACTTACCTTGCAAGTGCTAAATCCCAGTTTGTGGGCCTCTCTCCGAGTTGTGAACCTCGAAATTCTCCTTCCAACAGCGTCACTTCACAGAGCGCTTAATTGTAAATAATTGGCACGCCTGTTTTTCACGATTATTCTTAATGCTCTTCGGTCGGCATTTGTGATATTACTTTTTTTCACATATCGTGGCTTAATATTAACTGAACCAGTTACGTTATATCTTCTAACAATATTTCTCACACTGTACCGCGATAAGTCTAACAAAGTTGCAATTTCTGAGTTTGATTTCCCAGAATTAAAAAATTTAATTATCAGTAACCAAATTTTCTCACTAATAACCTTTCCTCTACCCATTTTGAAAACCTTAACTACCCAAAACTATTTTAAACGTATTCTGACAGCTGTGATTAATAAAAACAGTTGTCATGGCTTTTATTTTTCACAGCCACCTATGCGTTATAGACTTATTTTGCAATGAAATGAAAATAGGTTGATATGCTGTAATGTGTTATTTGTATGCTGCAAATTTGATTAGGGAGTGATAAAGTTGATGTTTTCTACTATATATTATCAAAATATTCATTGTTAATATTTTAAACCTATAACACCCTGCTACATTTTTATTATTTGTGTTTGATAAGAAAAAAACTAAGATTTCAATAGTTGGGCCAACTGAAGTGGGAAGGGGCTCGTAGATATCATTAATTGCTGCAGTCATTTGTTCACAAAACTCAACTTGCCTGTCGAACTCATCTTCGGTTAATGCTTGAAGTATTCTCATTTTAAGTGGATGAAATTTATGGAGTTTAGTAACAGAGTACAGCGCCTATTGAAATACCAGTCGCAGCAACAATTTTGCATAATGAAGTATTAGATTAGATTAGATTTTGGCCACCATAAATTAGAATCATTTCCACTCTTTCAGCTAGTGTGTGAACCATTTTGGAAGTAAAATCTGAATCAATAAATTCATTTTTACTATCCCAAGATTGTCTCAAACCTAACTCATAGCAAATTGTATTCTCTCTTCGGCTTAGCAACAAATAACTAAACAGGTATAACAATGAATACAGCTCACCCAGGGTATCTGTGTTGATGAAAAGAATGCGGAAAAAAAATCGGTTTGTTATTTGGTTGTTGCCGCGTCCATTCTTCCAAATTGCAGTTAATGTTGGTAGTTTCCATTTTAAATTATAAACGAATTGTAGACTTGGCAAACCCTAACGGGCAACATTTTGAACACTTATTGAAATAAAAAGTCATTTTTTCGTGTGTTTTTGTTTTCTATCTGAACAAATTAAAACAAATAAAGATTTTTCTAATTTTCTCGAAAACGAATCGCTTTCGATAAATCCGTGGTGGGAAGATTTCAAATTCACAACCTGTAAGCAATACAATACAGAGTCGTTCATGAAGGCAAGGTTGAGAATTTAGGTAACTAATAAAATGTTATTTAGATTGTTTAGCAATTCAGAGTATTTTCCCCTCTAATGTGGGCATCAGATAAAAGGGCTTGGGAGAAACACAATAAGCGAAGTGTGATCATTTGAAATCAAATAAGTCAACAGCCGCCAGTTGGCGTTCAAAATTTTTATAGTTACTCCTGTGATATGTGATATCAGCTGAAAGGGCTTGATGAGCAGCACAGTAAGCAACATGATGTGATGATTATGAGCATTGATAATGCAATACTATTATAAGATGATCTCACGCTGGAGCCAGGAAGTGGCCATGTGAACCCATCAAATAGTGCCTTGTTTGATTCCTAATGACAAGTAATCTAGTCTTACGGTCTTATGATTAGTCAACTATTATGTAGAAAATACTGATCTCTAATAACTGTATCAAATTTCATAAGTATAAGTCCCGTATTTACAACAAATCGCTATATTTTTGTTTCTTTTATGCTATACAAATAATAAAACAGTAGCAAAGACCTTATAACAGTTATTCTCGTTTTTCACACCTTATTTATATTATCTGTCTAAATTAAGAATTATGACATTCAATTTCTCAGAAATTTGACTCACTTATTTATTTATAAACGCACTATTTTCACACTAGGTTTTTGAAAATCTCACTTTTTTCACTTAAATTCTTGCTTTGGCTGCCAACACCCCTGTTAATAGGTAGTAGTAGTAGTAGTAGTAGTAGTAGTAGTAGTGGAAAGAAGTATCTAGCACATTTGGCTACATAAACGGAATAATTGTAAACAACTTAGAACTAGTAAATTCAAGCCATTTGATGTATGATGTAAATGCTGGGAAACCTATAATTTTAGATTTAACAAGTGATTTCTCAATTTTACTTTAAATTTTGTCAATGTTTTCTGGTCTTTTATCTCTGAGTATAATTTAGTATATGCAATCAACCCTTGATGGAATACAGATTTGTAGCATATGTTATACTTTTTAGTCATTACACGGAAGTCATCTTTATTTCTGGTATTATGTAAATGATGTTAAATTAGTTAGACTTGATGGAAATATATTATTTTTTATTTTATAAATGAATATCATTACAAAATATTTGATAAAAATTTTTACATTGAGCCATTTTAATTTGCTAAGCATGTGCCTAATTGGAGTATATTTATCTTTATTCACTATTATTCTCATGCACTTATTTTGTAAAATTTGCAGTTTTTCAAAAATGGAATTATTTGCTAAATATAGAATAGTCGAACAGTACAAGAAATTTGGAAGAATGATGGTATTATAGATAATTTTTCTGCTATATGAACTCAGACATCCAGAAACTCTCGATAAATATCCCACTTTACTACTAATCTTATTTATAACTTTTTCATAATGAATATCAAAAATTAATCGAGAGTCAACAAAAACCCCCAGGTATTTAAATTTTTCTACGAATTCAATATCTTCACCATCAATATTCAGTTGAACATTTGTACATCGTTTTTTTTCCGATTAACAAGGCTTTCCATTTACTTGTATTTAATTTTAGTCTGTTAGATGCTAACCATTTTGAGACAAGTTTCAAGTCTTCATTTATTATTATTTATATATGACATACCAGTCCGAATATTTTTAGTACTTATATAGATCATAGTGTCATCAGCGAAAATCTTAATTTTGCATTTTTTGACTATGGCAGGTAAATCATTTATGTATAGAATAAAAAGAAGTGGTCCCACGATACTGCCCTGTGGAACACCCAACGTATTCTCAATTTTTGATGAAATAGTGTCATTAACTTTTGTAACTTGCATCCTTTTAGACCAATAATTTCTAAACCAATCTAAAACACTTCCTGATATACCATATGCGTTCAATTTACCTAACAAAATATCTCTATCAATCGTTTCAAATGCCATCTTCAATTCCAAAAATACTGCTGACAACTTCTTCTGAGTCTATGGCTCTTCTCCAATTCTCAGTTACCAACTGTAGAATATTTTTTTTGAAAGCTTGCTTGCACCTCCAGGCACAATACTCTTTTCGCTGCTAGAAATTGAAAACGGCTGCATGACATTATTGAATGACACACAGAAATTAAAAAGACATCTGTTATTCATTACAATTACTTTATATTTAAATAATTATATATTGTTTGAATAAATCAATTTATAAAGCAAAAAATTATTGAACACAAATTATTAATTATTATTGGTAACCTACTAATTTGTTTGAAATAATTAGACTTTTAAGTTTTTTTATGACAATTTAAGATTCAAGCAATAAATGTATTTAACTTGACACAAATGTTTATTGGTCACCAGTCAACAAAAACAACATGCTTAAACTAATTACTTCATAAACGACTTTTTTTGTGAAAAATAAATATTTGACTGCTACTCATTTTTACAGGAACTATTATGTATTATTAGGCCTGTATTACTACCCCCCAAAGCCTTATTTCGATGTCTACCATTTTTATTTTTCCAATCTTGTGCTTTTCAGATAACTTTTTTATAACACATACAAATGTACTTGTGTTGTGCTGACATTGCTTAACATTCACAGAGAGTGGTGTCACCTGCAAAATTATGCCACATTCATAGCACAATCTATTAGTTCCAATATAGTAAGTGAAAATTCTAAAAATATCTATATGTGTTGAAATATTCTAGGAAAGAGCTCGTAGATTTGCATTAAAACCAGATGAAATCAAAACTTTCACAGAAGCTGATTTAGCTGAGCTATATGAGAGCCTTGGAATAAATAGCAAAAATGAATGTGAAAATAGATTTGATGCTGTGCATATGATAGGAATTACAGGTATGGAATCGCAAAGGTTTTATAATATTTTAAATCGAAGTTTTAAACATCTAAAGGTACATTCACGTATTGTATAACATCCGCAAAATCTTATGATTGGCCTACTAACAGCTTAGGTACCATTCAAGAGCAATTTTTTAAGGCAAATATACACTGGTTTTTGCACCATATTTCCAACATACAGGTGTCTCCTTAAGGCGGCTCCAACGCAGTGAGTTTCAGGTCATTTACAAGGGTTTAGCTGCTTCGGAATTGACGCTCCATTTTTCTATATATTTGAATAAAATTTATACAGTATGTTCAGAAGACAATTGTTCAGGGTGCTATAGAGCCACTTTTCTGAAAAAAAAAAATTCAGGAGTTATGGTGGGTGGAAGTGCAGATAATTGTTGTTCGACTTCTAGATTTTTTCAAAAATAACCCAGAGGAAAAAACGAAAAAGTGGCTCTATAGCACCCTGTGGAGTCTTGTTTTTAGTGCACTGTGAAAATTTCATTGAAAAATATTCAAAAATGAAGCGTCAATTTTGAAGCGCGAAAACCTCTGCAAATAGGCTTTTACACGAATGTTATCCACTATCTCGTGCTGCCAGTCGAAGCAACGCGGCGGTGTGTACGGACTAAGAAAGGACGTATTCAGATAATTTGTTGTCCCAAGTTAAACAGTACCAGTTTTGACGTCGGTCGTTCGAGATAAACAACGGACCAGTAAGTGACATTTTTAATAGACTTCAATGAAAGAGAGGAAATTTTTAATCGATTTTGATCATTTCTTTTTATACAATAGGCCATGCTTCAGAGGTGATACCACAAAAAATCATTTTTGTTCAATCACCCCAATATGGATATCAAATGGAAGCACTCGTACAAAACAGTAATACGAAAACAGTTTCAAATCAAGATGGCGGCCGTCACAAAATGGCGGATAACATACTTGCTAATATCTCAAATAAGAGAGAGAATACAGTACTTCACTAAAAATTTGATTCCAAGATTACCGCCGTTTCGAAATTGCGAGTTACATATTTTTGTACAAAACCCCCAATTTACATATCAAATGAAAAGACTTGACATGTGTGGTAAAATACAGAACTTTGTGACCAAAAGTTTCCAGGTGGTTCCACGGTCATTGGAGGCGGTAATCTTTTTAGTTAAAAATAATAATTATAGTGAACGCATTTAACACAAATAAAATGTCACTTGCTGTTTACCTTATGAAGTATCGTAAAATAAACTTAACACGATAAGCGTCATGAGATATAATGCGTGTGTCGCACCTCATTTGGCGTTTTGGGCCTCGTGACACACATGATATGTCTCACTGCTGGCAGTTATATTTGGCCGCGTAACGTAAGACGTGTGCCATGCTTATGTGATTTTCTTACGGGAACCAAGAGTCCGTGGCCTGAGGGACCAAATTATACTGAATTGGAAATGAAAACATTAAAAAACACGTTGTTTATAGAGTTTTACAAAAAGAGGATATTCTACAAATCTGAAACAAAAAGCAAATCTTATAAAATAATCAGACATTCTCATTCAAAAATGAACAAAGTAATTTCACAGCAAATCAGTAAGTTATGGTAAATGTCGATATTCTAACGAACACAAATATGGAAGAACTCTTATAAACTAAACAGATTGACAAAGTCTTATGCAGGAATAAACAAAATACCGGTATAAATAAACAGTAATACAGATAAATATGGAATTACTACAACTACTATCTGATTCACTACCACTTCGAGAATACGCATCAGATAAGTATACATCCCCACATAACTCGGTACTGCCACTTTCTTCATCCGATAGTATTTCATTACACAATTGTTCAAGCCTTTTTTGCTCCGCTTCGTAATGTGACATCACTAAATTTGGTATTCAATAATTTATAAACAGTAAAGCAATTTGGACAAGATGACGTACAATACCAACAACGCTTCAATAATAAATGACTCGAAACAGTGCTCAATGCGCGACATGATGCAAGTCTTGACTTGCAAAAAACGCGACGCGACTTATGTGCCACGCGACCCGACTGGTCTGTGGGCCACGCGACATACAACTAGTACCTCAGAAAAAAATTCAAAAAAGGGGAAAAATCATAGGATTTGAGAAAAAAGTCAAGTCAAAATATTAAACCGAAACTTAAAACAAGCTAATTTGACAATAATAACTTTGGCCCAGTGGACTGGATTTTCAGATTCTACTGTGGCGCTTAACGTGTCAATGTGACATTTCAATATTCGCCATCTAACAGACTAGATAAAGCTAGCCGATGCTACGTGCTATTGAGCCTGACGATTGACTTTTATTTAAATAAACAATATATACATAATATACAATAAATAGTGAACATCTGGTACTAGTATCAAAATGGAAGAGATTAGCATAACATCTCGCACATCGCTGCTAAAGCGAGATCTGCACACCGCATTTGCCGACACGAAGGGGTTAGTAACGGCGTACAATGTAATATGCTAATCTCTTCCATTTTGGTACCCGAGTACAGCAAAAATAGCCAATTCTCAAGAACTCTTTTTCTTGTTCAAACGGTTCTCTTGTGCCTTCAAGATCACATCGGGATCGCGAATTGGCATATTTCTGCTTTTCCTGGGATCGACCAGTTCTGGGAGCAAGCAGTTCATGTAGAAGAATTTCAATTTCTCTTCCATTTCATTTTCTAAGAAAACGTCATCCTTTTGAATGACGTCTATTTTCAAACCATACGGGGTCCAAACACCAAGCACACAGTACTCTCTTTCTGCCACGTGTAGCTGCCCTTGAATTTGGTAATACCACTTATGTTTTTTATTTATTTCATCGTTTATCCAAAACGTATTTTTTTTGTTCAGAATGCCCTCTTCAGGGGTCATTTCTCCAGCCGACCATGGACATTTAATTTCTAGCAGACCTTTTTCGCCTATCAAACCATCTGGCGATGCTGCCAGAAATGGATGGGTCCTATCAATAAACAACCCGCAAGATTGTACTTCTGATTGCGAATATGATTTCTCTATTTCTGCTTGTGCCACGCTTTCATGCTTTTTTCCATAGTCACATGCATTGCTAAAGAATTCGGTTGGGTATATTATGGCGTTTACTAGAGCTCTGCAACTTGTTGTATCTCTTCTTCCACAAACCTCACCAAACCGAGACGCAGTCAACCTCATTCTTCGATGAAGACGCCACAAATTGCAATACTGAGATTTTGTGGCTTGCTCGATCTGGGAAATTTCGGAGTCGGTTTTTGCAAGTTTTTTCAAGAATTCTACCTTGGCAGCCTCTATATCTTCGTTGCTCATGTCAGGCTTCTCACAGAATTCCCCATAGGATGCGTTCTCTTTAGTATCACTATCTCTGATTTTAATTTTCCTTGGTTTCAGCTTCCTTTTCAGATTTTTGTGCGCTCTCCTTTCTTCAACTTTAGCAATCAAAGAGGTTGGACTGAAACTAGGGAGTAGCCACTTTTGGATCACACAAACAGGCCCCTGTGTATTGTGGCTCACTACGGCTGCAGCACATCTTCCTTGGTAGGATCTCTTCTTGCAATAATTAATCCGTTTACCCCCAACGAATTTAGCTATGATTGAGTTAAACTGCTCTACAATATTATTATCGACGTCATGAAGTAAGCTTACTGCATTTTTAATAAGAATTGCCAGAAATGATATCAGCCTCTGGTGCAAATCTAAAAAAAAAAAAGGGTACACACCTGAATTTGAACATCCATGCCATCTGTCTCTGTTAGAGAATGCATATGCGAAACCTTGCTGTCATTTTTAAGCTAAAATAACATATAAAATATAGTTATAATAGTAACTACGTATAGTCTAATTTATTGGCAAAATGAATGCTAAAATTCATAATTGTTTTGGTACCTACCTTTCTATCTGGAAAATGTTTTTTTTTCCTGTGCGTAATTAAATGCGGCTTCTTCGAGATGCCACGTTTATTTCTCTTATTGTTCATTTTTGATACCTTGGTAAGAAAGACACGCAACAATAACAACACAACAATAACAACACGATAAAACAACAATACAATAACGGTAATAAGAGTAATAAGGGCTGGGTATACTATGCGCCAAAATAGGGAAACAGTCGTACGCTAGATCGTATATCCAAATCAAATCCGACTCTGTGCAATATGCAAATTCAACCAGGCACGCGAACAGCATACCTCTGCGTATTACTATCCTTTTCTAACGTAGAGCGCTTGCCTTGTCACAACGCCGTCCTACTAGCGTTTCCCTATCACCCCCCCGATACCCCTCAGAAACTCTGCTTGACTGTGAGAGCGCCGTTAAGAGATAGTATCCAAGTGTAACATGCCAAATTGATGCAGTTGTATGGCACAAAAATTCAATAAGAAAAGTTCTGAACTATCCCCTAAAACAAATTTCCTAACGTTAGTTGAGTTTTTTTCGATAAATAATGGTTTTAGGTATGACTGCAGAAGATATTCTGGAGTATTTTGCAAAATATGCTCCATTAGCAATTGAATGGATTGACAAGGATAGTTGCAATGTTCTGTGGCTAGAAAACATAACTGCAGCCAGAGCGATGTTTTATACTTCCAAAGCTGTCAATGGGATGCCAGCTAGGGAGCCTGTTGATACCTTTGCTAAAGAGTTTCTAGGTTAGTATTGTGATAGAATTTGTATTTTTCATAATGAAATTTCATTTACCATATCAAAATAACATAAAGAGTAACATTTTTCGTTTTGAGAGACTCTCAAGTAAAAATGTTTTACGATGGCCTAACAACCCAAAAACCAAAATAATATTGGATGATGGCAACAAAAGCCTTTCGCATTTAATTTCCCTATTAACTTTCAGATTCAAAGTTTGACCGTGAGTCGGCAAAGGTTATCATTCCCCGATCGCAATAATATTTATTTTGAGTTGTTAAAGTCAAATGGAAAAAGTTAGAGGGTATGCATTTCAAAAAAGAATTCTCATTTATTTGGGGCACCCAATTGTACATGGGATTCTCACGTCAGTATAATTTATACTTCATATTTTTATAGATGATGTTGAAGAGGAAGAGACTGGGGAAAGTATTCTTGTAAAAAAACAAAAAGGGGATGAACTGACAATCACAGACATTCTTCCACACAAGGTGAACATTGAAGGTGGCGTGGATATATCCCAAATAGCTATTCGCATACCGCCTGGATATTGGAGGTTAGGAGAGCCACATCCAAAATCTAAATGTATACTGATGAGGTACTCACTGCAGACTGATATGAAACCATATAGAACTGAGGATTTGGCGAGGTATGTTTGAGCACTTTTTAGCTTAATCCAATAAGTAAATACAAGAGAGGTTTAAAAATGAAACACGTGTTTCATACACTTTTTCATATTATACAGGGTGGTCCAACGAAAGGGTCGCACCCCTTTTTGTGACTCTTTTGGTATATTTAGGGAAAAACGCTCGGACACGTCAATTTTGATTTCTACGGGGAGGTCTTTTCATCTATAACTGTATATATAGCACGGTGATCCAAAAATAAGATATTGCGTTACACTAGCCCAACTAATAATTATCACTCCTATTAGAGTTGCAAGAATAATTATACAGTATTTCTTAAACAGCATTGTATACTGTAAGAACATTGGCAAAACCCTCTTAGAACAGCTATACAAGCGGAATGGGCACACCTAATAGGACACTTCAGTCATTTAAGAGGTTGTATAAGTGCTGCAGATAACAGTTATAAAACAAAAGTGTAAGCCTCTTGCAGCCGCTATAGGACATTTGCGTCAGTGCAAGATTCAGTTTTTGTCAACTATACAACTATTCTGTTACGTGATTATACTTTATTGCAACCAAACTATTTCTTATGTATTGTATAGACGAAGTGAAGAATATATAACTAACACATTACAGTCATCTTGTTTACTTACATAACGGCCATTGTGAATTTCATACACAGGTATATGATAAACTTCTACACATTGATATAGGGCTATTGAATTACTTGCGCAGCAAATTTTATTGTGATTATCGTGCAAATTAGTTACCCAATTTCTACGGGCTTCGTATTTGATTCATATTTTGACAATGATCAAAAAAAAGATTTTTAAGATGGAAAACTGAACTTATCTGCGTTAAATCTTCCACAAATCCTATATTTAGACACAATTACACTAATGTTTATCACTTTATATCTGTAATTTCGAACTGAAACATAATTATTTAATATTAAATAGAGGAATAAATGTTCGCCCAATATGGCGGGTGGTTGTGTACAATCATGGCATCGTCCATGTTGTCTTTAGGTTATTAGAATATTTTGGTGTTGCCTGCAGGTGTTATACAACAATTTGACAAATGTCTGAAACGAAATACCGATAGAGTCGAATGATTTACCCAGAATTTGCACCAGATCTATATCTTCTGTTTGAACAGTTGATAAAACCTTTTGAACCAATATGCATGCGTTGTTTGTCTTAAAACATTGGTTATGGCATTTTATTTAGCATATGTACAGCCTTTAACAGTTACTAAACAACAGTTGTATAAGTGCTTCCGTGGGGAGCAATTTGTTGCCTAAAGTAGAAAATTGCACAGCAAAACAACAAGGCTCGGGTTTGTTTTATAAACGTTACCATGGATGCCACAACACAACCATTTCGACTAACGTGCAAATATGCCGTATAAAATAGTTTTATAAACGTTTATGCAACAGTTAAAAATTTGCCCTATAAGGTGTTGTATAACTATGCTATAAGAATATTTTAAACACTTCATTTTAGAGCAAATATGTTGCAGAAAGCAAATTTGCATTCCACACAACATTAAGCCAGCATTTTGGTGTTCAGGCAACAACAATAGAGAGCTTTTATGGCTGAACGGTTCTTTTACCAAAAGCTTATACCACTACTTTGCTAGTTGCGAGATTTTTAAATGTAAACCCCCTTTTTTTAAATTTTTAGTAACTTTTGTAGAATAAAGTTTATACTTGTGAACCTGATTCCATGAATAAATTTGTTTTCGAGTAAAAATTAGCTATTTTGTGATTTTTTTAAAACCGTCCATCCTCTCTGCCGCACCCTGTATAAGTAGTTTGAGGTGCCGCAGTATTCAAGCCTCAGCTTCCAATTAGGTTGGATAGCTTCTGGTGTAACACACTACTCAAAAAAATTAAGAGAACAAGGAAACAATTACATTTTTTTGGTATTCAACTTATTACAAAATTATTTAATCAATAGAAGTCAAAGAACTAAAATTGGCAATACATTATCAAACATTAAAAACATTTCGGTATGTGTGCCACAGGGTAGCGAATTAGGTCCATTACTATTCATTTTATATATTAACGATATTCCCGATATTTTACACACTGCAAAATTCAAGTATTTGCTGATGATACGTTAATACATATGTATATCAAATAAAGACATTGAAACTGCAATAGAACTGTTAAATAATGATATGAAAAACGTAATAAATTGGTTAAATGTAAATAAACTTAAACTAAACACAAACAAAACAAAATATATGCTAATAGGAAAATGTTTAGATCAAAATACGATAAATCTTACAATTAATCATGAAAAAATTGTGTCAATCGAATCATTTAAATATTTGGGCATATACGTAGACAGTAAATTAAAATTTGAAGGGCGCTATGAATATATTATTTCAAAAATATCCAAGAAAATTTCTTTCTCATTTGTTATATTGTCCTATTACTTTGTTCACTGCAAATTAAACTGTATTTTCAAAATTACAAATATTACAAAATAAAGCTATGAGAATCATCTTAAATAAAAATAAATATATTAGAATAAATTTTATGCTGAAAGAACTACACTGGTTAGATATCAAAAATTTCATAGCCTACTTGGTTTTCATTTTCATATTCAAGTTAAAAAAATCATCTTCCACCAAATCACTTAGAAAATTTCATTGTATTGAACAATGAGTGCCACAATTATTCTACTAGAGGAAGTATAGACTTTCATTTCCAAAACTGCAGTAGCAATATAACGAGCAAGTTAGTATCTCAAAAGGGATTGTACGAATTTAATAAATTAAGTAATGATATCAAGATGTGTGTCAATTTGAAAATGTTCAAAGGGAAATTGAAAAAATATCTCAAGGAAAACCAGAATTCATAGTAGTGAAATTTTGTATAAAAATATGTAGTATGGAAGATATAATATATTTTGTGATATACTGCTTAATATGGATATTGTAGCATTAATGCTAAATAAATCTGAAACAAACAAACAAAAAATTTTGTGACAGGCTGTTTCGGTGAAAAATAGTCGTATCTAGACTTATTTTGAAGCTTTCAGTTTCTAGTTTTCAGGTTTTTTACCAGAAATTTTTTAGGAGCAACGGTTCTCATGCAATTCGAACATATGCCGCACGAAAATATTTTCTCAGAATTTTTTTGTTCACGGGCTTGAAACATTTTTTTCTGTTAGGTAATTATATGGGTCAGATAGCACGTTTATTCAGCTTCAACATCCTGTTTTTAAACTCTCGATACGATCAGATATCAGTGGTCGATGATCTTTCATTCAAATGATCGTATCGAGATTTTAAAAACAGGATATTGAAGCTGAATAAACGATCCATATGGCCTAACAGAAAAAAATGGACCAAAAAGAACGCAAAATATTTGTTAGAATTGCATGAGAACCTTTGCTCCTAAAATTTTTCGGATAAAAAAACTGAAACCTAGAATCTAAAAGCTTCAAAATGCTTTTTTTAAAGTCTAGATAAGATCATTTTTCACCAAATATCACCCAAATTATTTGGTTTTTTTTTTTGCTCACTTAATTTTTGTGAGTAGTGTATCTTAATCAATCCTTCCGACCAATTTTCCCATTTAAAAATTTCAGTATCTAGCATTTAATTATCTCAGTATTTGAAATGAAATTTTTTTCTTAAACAGTGAATGTTTTATATTAGTTTCGTAAATGTGCTGTTTCAGGTATTACAAGAATTTAGGAATGGAGCGAAAACCGCGACAGGGCAAAGGCATATTTGAACGCAACAGGAATTTAACCCAGGAGAAAAATCCGTGGGGCAGTTTGGCGAAAAACTGGAACAATGATACGCAACGCGAACCTGAGCGTGATCATGATACTCCACCTGTAAGTATATTCTATTCTATTAGATGATACGGGATTAGCGATTCTGATATTTTTGACAGAATTTCATTAGCCAATAGTTATAACCATGTTTACGAGGGCGGTCCGATAAGTACTTGTTTGTTCGTTTCAGATTTATTTAGCATTAATGCTACAATGTCCATAATATCCATATTACACAGTATATCACAAAATATATTGTCTTCAAGACTACATATTTTTATAAAAAATTTCACTACTATGAATTCTGGTTTTCCATGAGATGTTTTTTCAATTTCCTTTTGAACATTTTCAAAATAAGACACATCTTGATATCATTACTTAATTTATTAAATTCGTACAATCCCTTTTGAAATACTGACTTGCTTGTTATATTGCTACTGCAGTTTTGCAAATGAAAGTCTGTACTTTCTCTAGTAGAATAATTGTGGCACTCATTGTTCAATACAATAAAATTTTCTAAGTAATTTGGTAGAAGATGATTTTTTAACTTCAATATGAAAATGAAAACCAAGTAGGCTATGAAATTTTTGATATTTAGCCATTGGAGTCTTTCAGCATAAAATTTATTTTAGTATATTATTTTTTTAGAATAAACGCTTAGGCTATGCGAAATTCTATAAAATTAATTTATTTTTTTGGATATTTTTGAAATAATATATTCATAGTGCCCTTCAAGTTTTAATTTACTGTCTACGTATATTCCCAAATATTTAAATGATTTCGATTGACACAATTTTGTCATGATTAATTGTAAGATTTATCGTATTTTGATCTAAAGATTTTTCTATTAGCATATATTTTGTTTTGTTTGTGTTTAGTTTAAGTTTATTTACATTTAACCAATTTATTACGTTTTTCATATCATTATTTAACAGCTCTATTGCAGTTTCAATGTCTTTATTTGATATACACCTTAGGAAAATTCATTGTTATACATGGGAAATCATTTCTTGGCAACAGCGCATCGGCTCGTCTACTTTCATCGCTATTCGTACATATTTCCTACCGTTAACGCGAGTGCCGTTGTCAAGTGCGATAAGGGATTCATGACTCACTCTGCGGTTGGGTTTTGTGTAGGAAAGGTGCGTCTTAATTTAATCCAAAATATCTTAAAAATGTACTCGCAAGAAGAAAAGTTTCAAATGATAGAATGGTACATCCAGAATAATTCAGCACGCGCGGTTGTTGAATTATTTGCGGTACGCTTCCCAGATCAGCCAATTCCGTCTCACGCAACGGTTATAAATACCTACGAAAAATTCAAGAGGGTGGGCTGCTTACATAAGTGCCATAGCTGCATGCACCCTGAAGGTTGGAAACCAAAAATTAGCGAGAAAAGGGAGGAGATCGAAACTGCTGTTTGTGCCGCTGCAGAAGTATCTGAGCCATGCTCAAGCAGAAAAATTGCTGAAATGGTACCAATAGCCGATCTCACACCCAGAACAACAAGAAATATTTTGCATCGCAACGGATATCATAGCTTCAAGGTTGGAACGGTTCAAGAAATATTTCCTTTAGACAAATACCGTCGAATGGAGTTTTGTGAAACGGTCATGGAGAAGGCGAACAGGGATGGAAGTTTTATTGGTAACATTTTGTTTACTGATGAATCCACATTCCCTCTCCACGGTCATCACAATCCTTCAGTCGTTCGGTATTGGTCTCGGGAAAATAAACACCTCAGTATTTCCGTCCGCACGCAGTATCCACAGAAACTGAATGTGTGGGCAGGAATTCTAGGTAATAACATTATCGGACCGTTCTTTTGATGGAACTCTTACGGCTGCAAAATATTTGGCGTTACTACAGACGCAGATTGTTCCTGCAATTAGACAGCTTGGCATTGATCTCGCTAATATTTGTTTCCAACAAGATGTGAAAAGTACTGTTTACACTTTCAATGAGAGAGCAGACAATTTGCATAACCGAGCAGACAATTTGCATAACCTACAGGTGAAAATCGTTGAAGCGCTCGGGCAAATACAGCCTTCTACCCTCTTGAGAGTTCGTCAGGAGTTTTATAACCGCCTGACATACTGTTCATTGAATGAAGGAGACGTTTTTGAGCCCCAGCTGTGAAGGACCATTTGAAACATTTGTGTTCATTATTGCGTTTTATTTTTGAGAACTTATTTTTTTGTTAGAATATCTTTTTATTTTCGTTACACATTTTTAAGAGTGTACTATTTTTTGTTAGAGTAGGTATCTTCTTATTTTTGTTATGAGGCGCAACCTTTATTGCTACAAAACCAATTATCCATTCATAAAAATAAGTAGAGTGATTTCGTGAAATCTCGAAATCACCGAAATCAGTTCATAGGACGTCCAATCGAACTGGTGCGTAATGCGCGCATCTACTGTACTTCTTCTATCGACTCAACGCATACTGAAATTTGCAGCAGACCGCAGACCTGTATCACGAATGAGAATAATAGGCAGATACGCTGTGTTGCCAATTTGAGTAGAGCTTCCCGAATTGTGGGGAATTTAGAGTTAAGTGTTGATTCATTCAAGCTTTTAATCAACATGGCCTAGACGTTAGAAATTCATAAAGATAACATTGAAGCTGAATGCTGCTGGAGTATAGTGTTTCGAATATTCAAAGCGGAGCGGGACACTAGAAATTATTTTACGAAAATGCGTTATATTTTTACGATTTTGTCGTCACCAAATCTATGTTTCTCAAAATGTACGTCTAGTATAGAATTTTCAGCAAACTAAGCAAGAAGCGTGATCTAGTATTTACTCAACATTACGGATTTCTCGAAATACATTAAAAAATGTGACCTAGATACCTAACTGCCCCAAGCTCTTTAAATATAACACCTTAAACCAGGGTTACCAGGTGCTCAGTCACGTTGATTGTCATGTTATACTGCGCAAGTCAGCAAACAATCTGGCGTAATAAACGTTAGGAATCATCAGGTATTGCTAGATTCCCGAATACCGGGCACCATAGTACCCGTTATAGTTGTCCTTCAAAGTTGTCAAATCGCCCCTATGGCAAAAATTCGCCACACCAGGCAACTGTGCTATAAACAAACCCTGTTTATCACTACTATTTGATAGTCATATGGTAGTTGTAGCCCTATCTAGCGGTCCATGATTTCTCGCAATACTGTTGTATCTCTACTGGCAACAAGAATAGGGATTACAAAATCATTTATACGAGTACAACAATATACAAAGATGAAAAATATGATTTGAACCATGAAACATTAATACAATTTTAATAGTTTGAACTTTTTTCATTTTTGGAATACTCTTATGTGGGATCCGCAGCTATTTTTCCCGAAATTTGGGTAGACTTAGATTTCTTAGAAATATGACATATTGGTATCGGCAACTCTGCGAATGGGAGAAACAAATCGCATTTGTTGAGCGCATCCGTCTAAGCAGCAGGCGCCAGCGCCCGTTCTGCCATCTCTCTTTTATCACTCTTCTACTTTACCCCGTTGTCCGTCACACTCCGACGCTGCCAGATAGGATCCTACAATCGAGTGTCTTTCACGCAACTACATACTTTTGTATATTTCCATCTCTCTTCCTCATCATAATGTATAATAATGTTTTTCCCAAGGTGTATATATTAATGTCGCATCAGCAAATAGTTGAATTTTGCAGTGTTGCAAAATATCAGGAATATCGTTAATATATAAAATAAATAGTAATGCACCTAATTTGCTACCTTGTGGCACTCCTACGGGAATGTTTTTAATGTTTCATAATGTATTGCCAATTTTAGTTCTTTGACTTATATTGATTAAATAATTTTGTAATAAGTTGAATACTGAACCTTGAAATCCATAGCAATGCAATTTCGTTAACAATTTCTCCCTATCAATAGTCTCAAATGCTCTCTTCAAATCTAAGAACACTGTTACTGTAAACTTTTTTTCATCCATATTTCGCATCCATTTTTCTATTTAATAATATAATATAATTTTGTAAAACCTTTAATTCTGATCCTTTAAAACCATAGGGAGGTAATTTTATTAACAATTTTTTGCTATCTATAGTTTCAAATGCTCTAAACATACTGTTACAGTACATCCTTTCTCATCTAAAAAATATTATTTCATTATTCGACTACAAACGTATGTATTATTAAAAGTTCATAACAAACTTCAGGTTGAAATAAAAAATCCTCGACTGTTGGTTCGCCTGGGCAAGAAGAAAGTGTCTCCAGCAGAGGATGAGGTGGAACCTGTAGAAGAGATAGAAGCGGGTGAAGTTGTTTCGGAAAAAATAACGAAACTGCCGAGGATGCGAATGTATGCAGACGAAGAGGAGGAAAAGCAGCGACGAATAAGGTTATTACGCAGTCTGAAACAGTCGGACGACCTACTGAAGGAAAATCAACCGAGGGTTAGGGATTTGAGGTAATACTTTTAGGTCCATATTCATAGTTTAATATAAATACTTCGGCGAATGCTCTTCCGCGTCGAAGCAACCGCGCAGGCAGAAGTCTAAATGCCAGGGCACCTCGCCTGCTATGAGGAGCTTAAAGAAACTTTGTTGATCCGATTTTTGAAATGCCCAAGTTAGTAGAACTGGGAAAGCCTCCTAATATAGATTGCTGAATAATCTCGATACTGTAGGGATAAAGGAGCGGTCGTATCCGCCAGCACTGGATGTACGAACTTCGACATGGTTAGGATAGGAGGCCGAAGTTAAGCGGGTCTGCCTGGCAGCCACATGGAGCAAAGCCTGTTGACGTAGCGGTAGATCAGAGCTAGATACAGCCCGCCAGTGCGAAAGCGTCTCTAGACTGTCCATTAGGGAAGAGTTTTCGATCAGTCGGACAGCCCTCCTGTGAACAGCATCGAGCATGAAGAATGTAGTCGGGGCGGCAGCACCCCAAACATGTAAGCAGTACTCGAGGCGAGATCTTATCTGGTCCTGGAGGTCATGTGCGGAAGAGTTCTTAGCCCTGAACAAATAGACTAGCTTTTTGCCAGCAGCTGCCGCTATTGACGAGATGTGTTCGTGCCAGATCAAGTCCTCGGTGATCTGTACTCCGACCAGCCGAAATGAACGGCTCTTTGGGAGAACTCGGCCATCCGTCGAAACTGGATGAACGCTAGGACGCTTCTTGTGGTCAAGGTACAATACTGAGTCTCGGAAGCATTAAGCTGTACCAGATTGTTGCGTCCCGAAACAGTGATAATCTCCAGGTCTCTCGTCGGAGAAGAAGTCGCTGTTAGTCTTCTTTTCTCCAACTCATCGGCCCGGGGAACACCCGCGTTGACGTTGTGGGATCAAGAAAAGAACCCTACTATGGATAATTTGCGGCCAAAGAGGAAGTCGACCACCCATCTGCAAAGCGTCTCCGGGGGTCCATATGATGGAAGTTTTCATAAGAAGGCAGCATACTACACCTGATCAAACGCTTTCGTGATATGACATGAGCCTCACCACAAGACTGGATTTGTGTACTCCACAGTTGCGTGACGTAAGCTAGGAGGTCACAGTCACACTTTGGCTACTGCTGTACGAATAGGAGTATAATGATGAGCCAGTATAATTGGGTTTGTATTTGCAGGAGTATGCTGAACATGAGTGACATAATAAAACGCATTCCACCCAAAGAGATAATTGACTTGGACGCGCCTGCCGATCGTAATACAAGACTTCGCCACAACGCCAAAAGAATGGTGAGTATTTGAGGCCTATAGCGAGTTTCTTTAGTAGCTTGTGCTGGAATATTGTTTTGAATCAACATGCGACTTTCAACGAGTTATTTTTACATGATTGGACGTTAAAGATGGCGATAACATTCTACCAGAACATAGTGCGTGATCTAAAGATGATCTAATCAAAACCAACCAAGTAATAATAATAATATTCATTCACATCAAATATAAATTGTGAATAAATTGATATGCCACTAAAGGAAAATATCCTTCTGTGTGGAGATCATTCTAACACAATGTATGTCCCTAAAAGTTTTGGCACATTTATCGGATTTTTTTTAATGAAGAAATTTATTTAAACACTAACTAGTTATGATAAGATACAACTCAGTAACTAAACTATACTATCGAATTATGTGGAGTGGCCCATTCTGCTCTACCAGACGCAACTTTCTTCAAATATCTCTCATGAGGCCCTGGACGGAATTCATATCAATTTCTCTCAGTTTTTCGTAAATTCGCTGTCTTAATTGTTCTTCTTCTTGGGCTTCAGAGCCTCCATAAAAACCTTCCTAGACAGTAAAGCCCAAAAATCTTCTGTTGGGCGAGCCTGCGGCAAGTTTTGAGGTTTATCGTTTTTAGGAACAAAAGGTATGTTGTTGAACCCAGTTTCTGGTATCTCTTGAGTAATGACATGATGCTAGGACTGGCAAAACATGATATGGTCATTAGCGTGATGTTCGTCGACAAACTGAAGCAATTTAAAAAGTCAGTTATCAATATAGCTCTGACTATTCAAAGCTTCCGACAAAAGGCTCGGATACACCCCTGTTAAAAATTAGTAGTAATAGTAGAAAAATTTATTTAGCACATTTGGCTTCATAAACAGAATAATTTTAACAACTTAGAGTTAGTAAATTCAAGCCATATGATGTATGATGTAAATGCTGGGCAAGCTATAATTGTAGATTTAACAAGCGATTCCTCAATTTTACTTTAAATTTTGTCAAACTTTTCTGGTCTTTTATCTCTGTGTATAATTTATTATATTCAATCAACCCTTGATGGAATACAGATTTGTAGCATATGTTATACTTTTTGGTCATTAAATGGAAGTCATCTTTATTTCTGGTATTATGTAAATGATGGTTGGCATCTGATGATGTTAAATTAGTTAGACTTGATGAAAATATATTATTTTTTACTTTATAAATGAATATCATTACAAGATATTTGTCAAAATTTTTTGTACATTGAGCCATTTTAATTTGCTAAGCATTTGTCTAATTGGAGTATATTTATCTTTATTCAGTATTATTCTCATGCACTTATTTTATAAAATTTGCAGTCTTTCAACAACGGAATTATTTGCTAAATATAGAATAGTCGAACAGTACAAGAAATTTGGAAGAATGATGGTATTATAGATAATGTTTCTGCTGTATGAACTGAGACATCCAGAAACTCTTGATAAATATCCCACTTTACTACTAATCTTATTTATAACTTTTTCATAATGAATATCAAAAATTCATAGAGAGTTAACAAAAACCCCCAGGTATTTAAAATTTTCTATGAATTCAATATCTTCACCATCAATATGCAGTTGAACATTTGTACATTGTTTTTTTCCGATTAACAGAGCTTTCGTTTTACTTGTATTTAATTTGAGTCTGTTAGATGCTAACCATTTTGAGACAAGTTTCAAGTCATCATTTATATAAGAGATACCAGCCTGAATATTTTTAGTACTTATATAAACCATAGTGTCATCGGCGAAAATCCGAATTTTGCGTTTTTGACTATGACAGATAAATCATTTATGTATAAAATAAAAAGAAGTGATCACAAGATACTGCGCTGTGGAACATCCAACGTATTTTCAATTTTTGGTTAAATAGTGTAATTAACTTTTGTAACTTGCATCCTTTTAGACAAATAATTTCTAAACCAATCTAAAACACTTCCTGATATACCATATGCCTTCAATTTACGTAACAAAATATCTCTATCAATCATTTCACATCCAAAAATACTGCTATGACAACTTCTTCTGAGTCTATTGCTCTTCTCCAATTCTCAGTTACCAACTGGAAAGCTGTTTCTGAGGAATATTTTTTTCGAAAGCCTGCTTGTGCCTCCGCTAAAATTTTATTTTCTTCTATAAATTGCTTTAATTGGTCATGCACTATGGACTCTAATAATTTTTCAATGTCTGGTAACACATTTACTGGTCTCATATCGCTGCATCTTTTAGAATTTTTTATTGTAGGAACTGGTGTTATCGTAGATCATTTAAAATTTTCAGGAAAAGAACTGCTTCTCAGTGAACAATTGGTCCAGTTTAATACAGGATATCCCAAAATTTCGAAACAGTTTTTCAGCACGTTTTTAGTAGTGATTTCGGCACAGTTGTTGTTTGATTTTAAACTGTTTACTTTTTTCTCAGATAATTCAATGATATGCTATGAAATTTTGAAAGTGTATGCAACACTTCCCCCTGGAAACTGATTTTCATATAGTCAGGTGCAGCGTTGACAGTACCCACAATATCAACAATACTTTCCACAAAATATTCATTTAGTTTGTTTGCAATCACCAAAGAATTTGTTTCGGTACCGTTTTCGAATTGAACTTGATTTACACAATCATATGGCTTTGAATTGATCAGTCTTTTTAAAGTTTTCCACATCTTTACACTGTCGCACTTGTTATTATCGATTTGTTTATCGTAGAATTACATTTTTTCTTCCCTAATTACATACAAACATTTTTTCCTAAGAGTTTTATATACCTCCTAATCATCATTTGATTTTGTGAAGATACATGTTTTGTATTGTTTGTCTCTCAAATTTTGAGCTGCCTTAAAATTTTTGTTATACCAGGGTGTGTTTTTTGTCGAGCAAGTCACTTTTTTATCAGTTGCAAGATCTAAACGATTGCGCACCAGACAAGGATTTTATCTGCATATTTCGCTTTATGTTTGTATCTAACATTGTCAGGGCATTCCTCTACGTTTTCCATATAGAATCCGTCGTTTCCCTTCATTTCAGAATTACTCAAACTGAAATACTTTTCTTCATTTCCATTGGTAAAGTGTGCCCGCCTCATTTGACGACAGTATCTTGAAGGAGTTGCGCTTGAGAGTACTCATAGAATAGTAATGCGGAAAAGATATTTTAGGGCTTTTATAAATTACACCAGGCTTTTATCAGTATTCAATAGCCACTGAGATAAATCCATTTTCAATAATAATTCTGTTTTGTCTAATATATTTTGGTAAGTTATGATAAAATTTTGGACCTACGTATACAGGGTGTCCGCAAAGTTGGGGTTTTCCTTTTCAGAAACAACTACCCTTGAAATAACAAAGGTAATGTGTAGTGAAACGAGGGCAACCAAGTAAAAAAAAATAAAGAAAAAAGTACTCACTCTCCGGTTGACGAGAAGGGCTAAGTACGTCTCTGCCCGAAATCATACCGCTCCAACAGAAAATGAAATCAGCTGATGCGCTACCGAGCAGACACAGGCAAACAAGGAAGGCAAAATGTTGCGTAATGACCAAACATGAGTGTTGCGAAAGTTATTCACCCCATTACGCGTGAACGTAGATTCGTGTGTCACCAATATGCACTTCAAAAAGTCCGGATTATTGTCATGTTGATGCAACAACCACTCACAAAACCGCACTCTTGCTGGAAAATCGTCAGGTTGAAGGGCTTGTACACGTTGGACGTGAAACGGATACAGCCCCTCTTCACGCAGCGTTTGCCACACTTTAGTTTTTGATACTTGCACTTCTCTAGCCACGTCTCTAGTGCTTGTTGTTTTTTGAAACGCAATCGATTATATGGGTTCGTTTACCTCTACACGCGTGACCGTAACCGTGACCTGACACACTGACCCCGACCCAGTTCTGTCGTCGGGTTGAGCCAGTGACCTTGTACCACTCGGTGATGTCGCGGGTCGCGGCTACAGGACGGTATTCAGATATTTTTGATGTTGCAGAGCCCTTTATCTCGGTTCCCTTAAGACATTGGTGTATATGGTACTAAGAAAAATTGCTTATGTTTTCAAGATCTACACGTCGTGTAAAGGAAAACCCCAACTTTGCGGACACCCTGTATAAAAGACATTATTATTTTAGTATTGCAGTAATTATTAGTTTATTTTTATTTCTAGTATAATATTCATAATTTTTTAGAAATGGTCTAATGTTTGTTTTTATGAAATTCTAATATAACATACCAAAATAATTTTTTATATACAAAAATTTTTGATTTCAAAAATAGCGATTTGGAATGATATGCATTATGCACTGTTCAAAAAAAAAATTTTTGTATTACTTGTGATGAAATTAGATGGTTTTTATTCGTGGATCCCCAGATAATAATAATAATAAATATTTATTTCAAAATAACAGTGCATGGTTACAATGTATTACACACTGTTAGGTGAAATATACGTCACAGTGTCATCGAGTCAGAAAAAACAAAGAGGCAAAACATAATAGAGATTTTACATTTCAAAATATTCTTGAAGGTCAAGTGCATTTACAATTGATACTCTTTTTATATTCTTTTATATCTGTCAACCTTTTAATTTCTTGTGGTAACTTATTGTATATTTTAGTGCAGCTGTAATGGACATTTTTTTCGGTAACCGTGAGATGATTGACTGGATACAGAAGATTTATATTTCTATTTCTTGTGTTGTAGTCACTTCCTGAGTTACCGATAAAATTATCAATATTTTTAAATATAAAAAATAGAATCTCTTGAATATATATTGAGGCTACAGTTAAAATTTTATTACAAATAAATTTTCCTCTGCAAGTCTCTGTATAGGAAATTTTTAGGATGCACCTCAGCACTCGCTTCTGCACTAGAAAGATCCTATTGGTATGGCTACTATATCCGAAAAAAATTATTCCAAAACGTACAATGGACTCAACATTCGCGTAATATACCATTTTTAGAGTCTTGAGGTCTAGGTACTTACTAAGTACTTTAATGCTATAACATGCGTTGTTTAACCTTTTTTCTAGATGTTCTATATGTTTAGTCCAGGAAAGTGCTTGGTCAATATGAACTCCCAAGAATTTTCCACAGTCTGTCAGAGGGACTTCTATTTTTCTTGCTAAGGTGATGTTTGTAACTTCGTTTTTTTTTCTTAACTTAAAAACAATCGCATTTGTTTTTGAGGTATTCAGAGATAATCCATTACGAGCAAACCACAAAAACGCTTTCTCGCAGAGGTTCAAAGTACATTCAGCTAAATGGTTGAAATCTTGGCCAGAGACTAGTACACTAATGTCATCAGCATATTGGATCGTGCATACATTATTTGTGCTTGTAATACTAGCACACAGATCGTTCACAAAAATCAAAAAGAGAAGAGGTCCTAAGACGTTACCTTGTGGACTACCTCTTTATACCGTTAACTGTGATGAAACGGCTGATATTTCATTCTTTGTAATGAAAATGTTTTGCTTACGATCAGTCAGATAAGACTTAATCCAGTTGCAAGCACTTCCCCTTATTCCGTATGCTTCGAGTTTATTCAATAGAAGAGAATGATCCACACAATCATAAGCTTTGGTGAGATCAAAAAACAGACCCAGCGATATCATATTATTTTAAAGGCATTCTATGATGTTGTGGCTGAAAGAATAGATCGCCGTGTTGATGGATTTCCCTTTTACACACCCATGTTGTGACTCTGCAATTAAGTTGTTTCATATCATATGATTCATAATTCTTGAATACGTCACTAAGTCAAAAAGATTTGCAGAACAAGAAAGTAAGCTTATTGGCCTATAATTTAGCAAGTCACTAGGATCTTCTTTTTTACATATAGGTATATTATAGCTAATTTAATAATAATCCCATAGGTTATGTGGTATTCGACTAATATTTGATATAAATATTTGAATTGGGTTTTATTGAAAAGTAATGTCTGAACTTATACAGGGTGTCCGCAAAGTTGGGGTTTTCCTTTTCAGAAACAACTACCCTTGAAATAACAAAGGTAATGTGTAGTGAAACGAGGGCGACCAAGTAAAAAAAAAAACAAAGGAAAAAGTACTCACTCTCCAGTTGACGAGAAGGGCTAAATACGTCTCTGCCCGAAATCATACCGCTCCAACAGAAAATGAAATCAGCTGATGCGCTACCGAGCAGACGCACCATGCCAGCCCAAACATTCACCGAAAATGTTTGTTGAAAATGTGCCCGACGGACAGCGTGCGGATTTTCTACTGACCAAACATGAGTGTTGCGAAAATTATTCACCCCATTACGCGTGAACGTAGATTCGTCTGTCATCAATATGCACTTCAAAAAGTCCGGATTATTGCCATGTTGATGCAACAACCACTCACAAAACCGCACTCTTGCTGGAAAATCGTCAGGTTGAAGGGCTTGTACACGTTGGACGTGAAACGGGTACAGCCCCTCTTCACGCAGCGTTTGCCACACTTTAGTTTTTGATACTTGCACTTCTCTAGTGCTTGTTGAGGGATTCTCGTCTACGCGATTACCTCGCGTGACCGTAGCCGTCGGTTGAAGGTTGCATACTGACCTGACACACTGACCCCGACCCCCGACCCAGTTCTGTCGTTGAGCCAGTGACATTGTACCACCCCGAGATGTCGCGGCTACAGGACGGTATTCAGATATTTTTGATGTTGCAGAGCTCTTTATCTCGGTTAACTTAAGATATTGGTGTAAAAGGTACTAAGAAAAATTGCTTATGTTTTCAAGATCTACACGTCGTGTAAAGGAAAATCCCAACTTTGCGGACACCCTGTATAGCTGAAATCTAACTTTCTTCTTAATATATCGATGTTATAATAAAATTGAATTATAGTTTTATTCAAACATTCAGGGAAAATCAAGCTGCCACAATGTTCTCTTTGAAGGTGACGTTAGTGTGTTCTTCAGATTTGTTTAATTCATTCAAGGGTTTTAAAAAAATGATGTTTTATTAGGTAGTAACTGTGAAAAGGAATTTAGACGAAGAGAGGAATATAAGAGAAGAAGAGAACACCAGAGATATGTCCATTAGGCATGGGAGAGAGGATGCAAGGAGAATGATCAGTGCAGCTAAAGGTATGTTTAGACGCAATTGATAAATTGTAATTTTTTTATATTGCCTTAATTTCTGTATCAGGATTCGTGAATGCTTTATTGTTCAACTGATTACAGATCCTATATTAACTGGCTATGAACATGCCTGAATCTCTTGTTTACAGCTCTGTTTATTTAGGTTTTTATTCTGTTCATAAAAGTAATCGTTCTTTGTTTAAACAAAAATGTGTGTGACAAAATTGTTTAAAAACATGTTTTTGAATTTCGTCCGTGAGGTTCGCTTTTATTACTCGGTTATTTTTTATTTTGTATTATTGCGGAATAATATTCACAGTGTGTCCTAATATTCCGTGGACATACAACTACCACGTATTTTTAGATTCAAAATAAGTCGTTTGTCCGTTAGAAGTTTTCCTTCTAAATAAATTTGTTCAGATGTTTTTGGAACCGATAGTCCGATTTGAATGAAATTTGTGACACGATCTAATATTTGACTTTTATAAAAAATCCGAAAGGGTTCGAGAATGGTGAAAACTACCCTCACCGTTACATAAATTCTAACAGAATTTTTCTCCTAACCATTCTGAATTTCTGTTTAAAAGATCCTTCCATTCACTTCATTTTATGTCATTTATAAAAACAGGCCATTTCGAATAGTTTTCAAAAAAAAAATTGATTTTTGGAGCTGGTTTCTAAAAAATTTTCTTATTAGATCCAGTGTTAAAATCTAGTAGGCATCTAGTTGACAGAAAGGTGGGATGTTATATCAGTGTCAGATTATTTTTTGACAACAAGGTTCATAGAGTTTGAATTAATAAGTAATGTTTGAGTTTATTTTCGATTGTTAATTAGTAGAGATCAAGAAGCTCCTATTCAATGACCACCCCGTCCCCGGATATTCACCCTTTTTTATATGGTGAGCATTACCAGGTTCCAGTTACATTAAAAAATAGTGTCATCTTTGAAAAAAGTTAACTATAATTTTTTGCGACGTATTGTTATATGCAGGAACAAAAATTGTGGTCATATTGAAGACCTTTGATGAAAGATTCGCACTATTGCCTGAATCTTTCTTTCTACTACTACTAAATATACTACAGGGTGCGCCATCTTTTATGTCGGTATGTAAACATGAAGTAAATTTCAAAACGAAAAACTGATTTCTATATATCGGGTATTTTTATTAAATAAGAAGAAGTCCGGTGGGGTCAAATCTGGAGACCTGGGTGGCCAGTCAATGTCACCTCTTTTTGACATCACACGTCCAGAGAATTTTCGATGCAGAAACTGGATTGTTTCATTTGCAGTGTGGCATGGCGCACCGTTTTGTTGAAACCAGTAACCATCAAGACCTTTTTCACGCATTTGTATAACCAAATCACTCGGTTGATAAATATCAAAGTCATTCGATGTTTCAATACCGACATAAAAGATGGCACACGCGGTATAAAATTGTAATAAGTGATACCATACTTGTTTATGTTCGTCTATTTCACTTAAAGAATTAATAAGACGTTTGGGACTTCCTGATGCAACTCATTTTTTTTTCGAATCAGATGTCCTGAGCAGAGATCAGCTAAATAAAAAAAACAAAGTCGTCGGAAAAATTGACAAACCATTCTGCTATAACTTAAGTAGGCGTGGAGGTAGTATTCACGCTTCTTGAACCCTTAAGAGTTTTTAGTGAAAGCCAAATATTAGAACGTATATGTTTCTAAAGTTTCAACGGTCGGTTCTTAAAATATCTGATAAATCGTGTTTTAAAACTGACGCCCTCTAACGGACAAACACACAGAGGTAAATGATGTCCGTTCGACTTGATTTGAGTGTAAAGGTACGTGGTACTTCTATGTCCACGGAATATTGGGACACCCTGTAGAAAACAAATTGATTTTGCCGTTACAGAAAAAGGGCATCGATCGCCCGTTGTGTATGGTAGAAGATCGCCCGACCGGCCAAAGCTTGAAAGGAGAGATGTTAGTAGATCACCTATCAGAAAAGGTAAGCATACCAACTATCTTTCATTTTGTCATAAATAATATGTTTACGCTAAACGCTACTTTACTGTCAGAATCGTCAGCCATCTAGCGGTCACGTGGTGACTGGGCTATTAAACGTGAACCGAGATCTCTAACAGTTCCAACTTATAGCTATACGATCTCCGCAGTGGTGGATTCGTTGCGCTGTCTTCAATATTGTTACGATTCCAGATTATGGAATATTTTTTAAAATACGCGTATTACAACTACCTGCCAGTAGTCTAATTAATCTAAGTAATTGTCTTCTAACTTTATAATGGTTGTATTTTTGCTGTATTCAAAATATCGCATTAGAGATCCAACTTGCAGTGGTGATTTCGGATTCTGAAGTGAAATTGAGATGATCATAAGTAGAAATAACAGTGAAAAAAAGGCTATTTTTTAGTCAACTTTATTGACAGTCAACAATAACAATAACAAATGGCGTACTCCACAGTAAATACAAAGTTAATAGACTGCTAGGATCCAAAGTCTCAAAGCAATTCAAAATATCCATAACACTTTATAATAGTTTTTTGTCTATCGTCCAGTTCAACCAATATTTGGTTTTTCTCAAAACTGTCATTGGTACCGCCCTGATTAGGAAATCTGAGTAGTAAGTAGCCAACCTTCAAGCTTATTTTTGAAGACAGTGATCTTGAAGGTTTCTTTAATCTCATCCGGAATTTCTCTATAAAATACATGACCGCATTAGATATAACTTGTTTGTGTTTTGACTTCCTGAATTTGTGGTATTAGTAAATTGTCAATTCTATGCCTGGTGCTGCGAGATATTCGCGCTGGAATTTTTATACTTGAATTGCCTGGTGGAAACAACAATAAAAAACAACTATCTTACATCAAACAAACCAGCGTCTTCAAATAATACTTGGGTGGGATATTTGTAATTTTTTTTTTAAATGAAAATCCCTATTTCCTCTTGTATAGTAATTGTTGTAATTATTATTCAATTCTATGTAGTGTTCTAGATGTTGTGGCAAAATATGATTTTTCATTTTAAATTTAAAGTAAGACCCAAATATGAAATTTTGTATATTCAACCACTGCAATTCTTGTAACATAGACTTTATGTTGGTGTACTTATTTTTATTCGATATTATTCTCATAGCTTTATTTTGCAGGACTTGTAATTTTGAGAAGTTAGTTTCATTGGCAGTGAACAAGCTAGTTGAACAATATACTCGTAGTAAATGCGGTAGAATACATGTATTATAAACTATTTTTTTGGAATATGTACAAAGACTATGAGAAGCTCTACAAAACTAATTTGTTTTTTTGCAATTTTTGAAATAATGTATTCATAGTGACCCTCCAACTTTAATTTACTATCAATATATATATACACACATATATATATATATACCTAAATATTTAATTGATTCAACATTTTCAATTATTTCACCATTTATCCTAACTGTGATATTATGTTTTGTTGTTAAAGATTTATTTAGCATTAATGCTACAATGTCAATTTTGTATAATGATTCGGTTACATATTTTTCTTCAATCCATTTTCTGTAATATTACATTCTTGTCTATTAAAATTAAAATTACGTCACTATGTATTTTGATCATTCACTAACTGATTTTTTAATTTCACGTTAAACATTTTAAAATTGACCTCTGCTTAATATCATTATTCAGTGTATTAAATTCAAACACTCCCTTTTGAAATATAGATTTACTAGTTATGCTACTATTAAAACTTTGCAGATGCCTCTAGTTTCGTAGTTATGATGATGACTATTTAATTTTGTTTCGTTTTCTAAATGTGGTGGACATAAATGATTTTTTAATTTGAATATGATAACGAGAACTATACTATAACTATGTAAAACTGTAATGACTCATCGATGTTCACGTGAACATCACTTAACTACCAGTAGTCGGCTGTTCATAGGCGGGGTATGAATGTTTAACATGGGTGAACTAGATTTGTCACATGCTTAATAAAGAGTGGTTTGAAACATATTGTAAGACAAAAATTTGGGAATTACCTTTATTCATCGTCGCTTCCACTTACATCTGATAGTAATAAACTGTCGCTATCGCTTTCCTCGTTGAAATTGACTATAACTGGCTCTATGATGGTGTCGATGTGGTGGTCAAGCTGCCACATTTTTGTTTCTTCCTTCACAATATGACGGATAGCATTCTGCCAAGCTTCGGGCGTTACTAGCTGTATGGAAGTCTCAAGTAAAACCTTAACGTCTGGTAATTTGAAGGTTGTGTTATGGCGCGCAATATAACCCTTCACTTGAGCCCAGATGAGCTCTATTGAGTTCAGTTCACAGTGGTAGGGCGGTAACCGCAGCACAGTGACACCACATTGACGGGCCATCTCATCAGTCACGTAACTAATGTTCGCAGGTTTGTGCTGTTTAATTTTTTCATACAATTCCGCTTTCACACATGAATCGTCAAACGGGATTCCTTTTTCGCGCAACCATTGCTGCATGTCACTTTTTCGAGATCCCATAGTCGGTACACGTTCGGCTCGACGATTATGGTAGGAAGCATTATCCATGACGATCACAGAGTTGGGTTCAACTCGCTGAAGCACCCATTGAAACCAGCTCTCGAAGCAGCTGGCATTCATTTCGTCATGGTAATCACCTCCTTTTTTAGAGACGAAAATCAAGTCACACTCTTCTAAAAAGCCACTATCGCTACCAATATGAGTTAGGATCAATCTTTGACCTTTCCCTGACGGTCCACGAAGACCTGTTGACAAACCTTCAATGCTTGCTTGTCGGTTACTCACTACGTTTTTGTCTATCCAGGTGTTTTTAACTGTGTGACCTGCATTTACCCATGTCTCGTCCAAATAATAGATTTTTCTGCTTTGTCGCCTATATTCAATCATTTCGCGTAGGTATTTTCGACGCCAGGCGACTATTTCAAGTCTCTCTATCAATACTGACTTCCGACTACGCGTTTCGTAACGAAAATTAATTTCGTGCAGGGATTTCCTCATTACCTCGACGCTCATTTGGGGTATAATTTCATTTTCCTTGATCGCTGCATGTACAGCCTTGAGGGTTGGTATCTCATTCCTAAAGAAGAATGAATGTACGGTTCGCCTTAACGCCATTTTGCTATCGTCATCCAATTTAACGGCCTTTTGTCCCTTCAAATTAAACTTTGGATCAGTAGTAGCTCCAGTTTTCTTCTTTTCATGCACCACCCTGCGAATGGTCCACTCTGGAACGCCTGTCATACTTTCACAACGCGCGAGTGCATCTTCCTGCGACATAGTTCTGTTCAGATAATTGAACACGTTGAGCACGATTTCTTTCGCGTCCCTCTTCAGTGCTTTACGAAGCCGTCTACTTGTTCCCTGGCTTTCAGTACTTCCACTCGTGCCATTTGTACTCTCCATGGTTAAGTATAACCAAAACAGTAACCACAGAAACCACAACAATAACAATCACCCAACAATTCTTATAAAAACACACAATATGCGATCGCTCAACGAAACACGTTCCAATGCGTTGCCGACGCCTATGAGTCTGCCGGTCGAGGCGCGTCTTTGATTTCATTGGTTCTACCGGCGGAGAACAATCAGCCATTTTTTCCATCTCTGTCTGTGCTGTTGACCACCGCAAAGCCACAGAAACGACATATGTCGTACGCTATACGGCTGTACTGGAAGGAAGCCGGGATCGAGCTCAGATCACGTGTTGATCACGCGTATGAGTCATTACAGTTTTAAATAGTTGTAGTATAAATAATATATGAAATTTTTCACATCCAACTGCAGTTCTTCTAACATAGACTTAATCCTAGCATATTTGTTTTTATTAATTTAAAATGATTCTCATAGCTTTATTTTGTAGAATTTGTAATTTTGAAAATATGTTTTCATTTGCCCTAAACAAGATGGTTGAACAATATAAAAAATGGGGAAGAATTATAGTGTTATACACAATTTTTTTGGAATACCTACTAAGATTATGGGAAACTCTATAGAAGTAATTTATCTTTTTCGATATTTTTGAAATAATGTTCGTGAAATAGTAGCTTACTGTCCACATATATACCAAGATATTTAAATGACTCGACTACTTCAATTTTTTCATCATTAATCATGGGCTTAATTGTATTGTCACCTAAATGTTTCCCTATTGACATACATTTTGTTTTATTAGTGTTTAAGTTTATTGACATTTAACCAATTCATATTTTTTTCAGTATCACTATCATTTAGGTATTTCCCTATTAGCATACATTTTGTTTCAGAAGCATTCAATTTTAGTGTATTTAGATTTAATCAATTCATTTTTTAATTTGCAGAGTTTAGAATTTTTAAAGCAGTGTCTATATTTTCATCTGATTTGTATATTAGTGTATCATCTGCAAATATCTGAATTTTACAATAATCTAAAATATCACAAATGCTATTAATATCTAAAATAAATAGCAGGGGACCTTTACTACCTTGTGGTACACCAATTTATTACAGATGACTCGATTAGGAGGTATACATCACCTGCCAGGAGAAGATCACCTAATAGATCAGGAGATCATCAGAATAGGTCTTCCAGGGCGGCAATGTATAGTGTCAGGAGTCCAAGAAGAAATAGCAGTAGTTACTGGAGAAGGTAATGTCATACTAAACGAGAGGTATACCAAAATACGAAAAGCAAAATGACGTTTAACCATTTGTTCTTATTTGACCTGGGAGATGCATGCTGTGTTGCAAGATAGATGTATTTATCGACCATCACTTCTAGTTGAAGACTGGGTCTTTTTTTTAAAGAACCAGCCAGTGTCCTTCTGAAAACTGGCTTTCAACTAAATTTGTTGAAATTTCCCATAGATGTAGTTATTTGAAAAGTTAGGTGTACGCCAGCAAGCCCCAAACCACTGAAGAACTCAAGGCAAACATTCGTACCGCAATCGCCGCTATACCACCAGAAAAAGTAATGGAAAACCCAGGTAAATGGGCATATTTTGTTTTGGCCAATAAAGGTGGCCACTTGATAGATGTTGTGTTCAAAAACTAGTCCCAATAAATTGTAAAGGACCATATTTAATAAAAATATCCGATATATAGAAAACAGTTTTTTGTTTTCAAAGTTATTTCATGTTTACATACCGACATAAAAGATGGCGCACCCTGTAGGATATTATTATATCTTGTAATGTTGGCAGAGAAGAAGTTTGTCGCGGAAATATGTCAATGTCAGGGATTAGGTTATTTTGGACGTTTTGTGTCAAAAATCGATGTAAAGCTACTTCTAAGTCTCGTTTTTGTATCTTATTCGAGTACCCGATCATATACTAAGTGACATATAAATCCGAACACCCAGTTTAAATGGTTTTATTTTAATAAAATTTTGTATAAGTACTTCATGAAGTATAATAAGTAAATGATAAAAATTTCAAAATGATTGCACTGCTTTAAAGCCCTTTGACCTTTAATAATGTGTGGATGCACCCTGATGTGCTACGCATTCTCCAACGCGCCTGGGCATGCTTCTGATCAGGTGGTCAATGTCCTCCTGTGGTATCTCATTCCAGGCAACCACCAACTCCTCTCGAAGTGCTTCTAGAGTCTGAGGAGGACGTTGCAAATTGAGCAATCTCCTACCCATCATATCCCACACGTGCTCAATTGGGGATAAGTCGGGAGATCTTGGTGACCATGGTAACAATGTGACATCATTATGTTGAAAGAAGTCTATTGTGACTCTTGCAACATGTGGTCGGGCATTATCTTGTTGGAAAGTTGGATCTGCCAGGGTGTCAAGATAGGGTAAAAGATGGGGTTCTAGAACTTCGTGGATATAACGCTGCGCGTTCATGTTACCTCTGATGAAGATTAAAGGTGACCTGGAACCATAAGCTATAGCACCCCAAACCATAACTCCAACAGTGTGGTGAACATGTCTTTCAACAAAAAACTGTGGATTCCTCCTTTCACCACGTCGCCTTCTAACCCTGGCACGACCATCGTGCATGCCTAAACAAAATCGAGACTCGTCACTAAAGAGAATACTGTTCCATTCCTGATCCCAGAGTGACCGTTGTCTGCACCACTCAAGGCGATAACGTCGGTGTTCTCGAGTTAAAGGGAGGACCTAGTGTGGCCGATATTAAAACAAGCCAAAACTTCTCATTCGTCGGTAAACACTTCGCATGCCAATAGGTCTTCCGTGTTCTGCAAACCATTCATTTGCAATGGACCTGGTAGTGGAGAAACGGTCCCTTAAGGCCAATAATCTTAGACGGCGATCTTCACGGTCTGTTCTGCGGCGGCGTCCAGTGCCCCTTGCTCTTTGCGGACGGCCTTCTCGAAGCCATGCCTGACAACACCTAACCACAGTGTCTACACTTCTTTGCACTCTAACTGCAATTGCCCGAAAAGAAAGTCCAGCTTCCCGAAGCCCCACTATACGGCCCCTATCAAACTCACTAAGTTGACGCTCCGTACTCTTGGCATCGTAACCGATCGTAAAGGATGTCAAGAACCAAAATCCGCCAACGTTGATTCTTTACTGCGGCTGAAATATTCATTTTTAGAGCGTTAGTGAATTAAAGAAAAGCAGTATAAAAACCGGAATGTCCAACTGATAAGGCTGAACATTTTTTCACTTGTTATTTACAGTAAGATAAATACATTCACCAACTTTTATTAAAATAAAACCATTTAAACTGGGTGTTCGGATTTATATGTCACTTAGTATATCTGGTCAACGCTGTACTTGACGTCAAAAAATGGTGAATGTGCCATTTTTATCTCACAACCCTCGAGGTTTAGGAGGTTCTGTCCATTTAGATTCTTGTTCAGGACGGTGAGATATACAACATATCAGAAATTCAACAAATTTAACGGAAGTCCGGTTTCCGTGAGGAAATTGCGTGGTTCTTTCTTGGATGCATGTTGGCACAAACAAACATAAGCAATACAATTTTAGGTCAGAATGAACATGTTTTCTTTGTCTGCTTTCGGTTTGATTGTCAAAAAAAGACAGGAAGCAGCATCTGATTGAAACACTTGCAAGCAGCAATTTCAAATTTAAAACATTTGCAAACATCTGCTGGTACTATGCAAACGTACATTTGCGAATGCGTCAGACCGAGTTGCACTAGTGACCGTATAGAAATTGAAAACAAAATATGTAGTTGTTGACACTATTAATAGTCTAATCATATTAGACGAAAATACCTCTGGTTTGCGAAATAATTATAAAGCCTGATTTTATTTCTCCAAGTTTGAAAAAAATAATAGAAAAAAGTAGCTTTGTGGATTCGAACATCCGTCCTGCGGTTCTGCAATCGTTAATCCTTCCCATTACGCTACGACGCCTCTCGACTTACTGTATCTTTGTATCACTATACTTGACACTGACAAATGTCAAGCGAATGTTGGAGGCATATCAAATCTGTTATATATCTATTATAATACTCTTGAAAACTATACAAAATATAATGCTGAAACTTTAAAGAATGTTTATAGGGGCTAATACCGAGCGTTTTGCCTAATTTTTAAGACGGTTAGTTAGCTAAAATTGGTTGATATTTCTCTACTGTTTTTTGGTTTTCTCGAGTTTATTTTCCAACATGTTGAACTCGCAGTCGTTTCAATTGTATGAGATTTCGAACTATACGTATTAATACTTTAGAAAAAAGGTCCAGGGAATTACATTTCTTCGTAAAGAAACTGGATTACCGGACCTACTTATTTGACAGAGTCATGCAGTCATTAATAATGCAACAATTTAGCACATGATACATACTAACTAGTCTAAGACAGTTTGAAACATAATTGTGTCTTCAGTTTGCGTGCTAACGTTATAAACAGATTAGCGCATTTCAGTAAGAAATCTTTTTTTTTATTAAACTTTAAGGCTCATTTAGGACCGTGTGAAAATGTCACCTCTAAATACATATGTACGAGGGATGTCTTTTAAGTTTTGCATATAGAAACTCAACCGAGAACATTTTTGCCCCATAATTTATTACAACTTTCAGAGACAATTATCGCAACAATGCCTTGCTGAGTTACTGTCTGTTTTCGGCAACGAAGCGCCACATCAGTCGACAATTTCCCGTTGGTATGGAGAATTCAAACGTGGACGGGCGAGTCTTAGCGACGATCCCAGGGTGGGTGCACCAAAAACGGCAGTCACTCAGGAAAACGACGATGCTGTGCGGAAACTCATCATTGAAGATAGACATGTGACATATCGGGAGATTGAGGCGTCCTTGAAGATCTCAAAGACCTCAATTCAAAAAAATTTACATGAAGAATTAGGAGTAAGAAAATTAGTTTCTCGTTGGATACCCCAAAGTTAACTGAAGAGCAGAAAGCAGCCAGGGTTGATTGGTGTCAAAAAACGCTTGACTGTTTCAATTCCGAAAACTCAAAAAATGTGTACAGCATTGTTAGTGGTGATGAATCGTGGATTTACTGTTATGAACCAGAAAATAAACGACAATCGGCTGTTTGGGTGTTCCAAAGTGAAGAAATGCCTACAAAAGTTATCCGTTCTCTAAGTGTTTCGAAAAAGATGATCGCGGCATTTGTGCCAAAAGCGGGTCATATTGCAACAATTCCTCTTAATGAGCAAAGAACTGTTATTGCGGATTGGTATACCACCATTTGTTCGGCAAAAGTCATTACCGAGCTTCGAAAAATCATCCCCGAAATAAGAATGATGCTCCACCAAGACAATGCAAGCTCGCACACAGCCCAAAAAACAAGGCAGTATTTAACGGAAGAGAACGTGGAATTAATGGACCATCCTCCATATAGTCCCGATCTAAGTTCTAACGATTTCTTTACTTTCCCGAAAATTAAAAACAGACTGCGTGGTCAAAGGTTCCAGTCACCAGAAGAAGCAGTTGACGCATTAAAAAATGCCGTTTTGGAACTGCCAGCAAACGAGTGGAATAAGTGGAGAATACTTTGAAAAACAATAAAGTCATTTAAAACTACCTACCGTGTTGTTTTATTTCCATATGCAAAACTTGAAAGACGTCCCTCGTATACAGAAGAGTATGAAGTAATCTTGAAAAACAATTGATTTCCTCGCAACAAAAGGTGAGACACATCCGCTTTGTTTTAACATGTGTATAATAGCGTATGGTTTTCGAATATCGTAGCGAATCTGTTCAATTACTTACAAATATGAAATGTTTGAATTTGTATCGTAACCCTTCGTTTTTCCCATAAAAATAACAATTATCTTTCGGAATGGCTAAACTCATGTATTTTGCTATAAAATTCCCTTTCAACGAACCCTGTATATTGCTCAGTAAACTAGTAGTGATGGCCGGAAGACGTGTAGGATAGTGGGAGAAGTGCCGTTTCAGTTGGCAAGATGGTTTGGAACGTTGAGCATCGTGTGTTCACTGTACGTCGGTATATATATATATATATATATAGGGTGTCCCACAAGTCGACGTCAAGCCAAAACCGGGTGATAAGCAAAGTCATAACAGCTATCAGAAAAATATTTAAAAGAATTTTATGTACGTGTTTTGAAAATTATAGGTCTTTGAAAAAAATATAGAAATTTCACACCCTACGGCAGTCTGTCACCTCCTGTTACTACAAATAGAAACTTTTTTTGGATTTTATTTTTACAATGTAATGATGAATAATGCATCTTCAAACTGGTGTCTCAACCTTACTGCCAACTTTTCTCGTTCAGGAAAAATTGCCACTTATTTCACAACCAAGTATCCCAAAGTAAAACTTTGCTCAACTTTAACTGGCTGTACTGGAAAAAATGTACTACGAGAGTTTGGCAAGTAACCTTAAAAGTTGGCGCATTAAATAAGGATTCTAAAATGGTATAACACTTAGAAGATTACTCGTTAACTTATGCACAATTTTTATTTGAAGAAAAACTGATGAAAATTATTCAAAATTTCCTAATTAAACAGCGATTATGAAAACGCATAAGGACCCTTAAGGATAACTGTTTGCACAACAGTGGGCGTCAAAATGCTGCTGATGATGATTTACCTTTACAGCAAATGCTCAAACTGTTTTCCTTCAGCCGCAATACACGCTCGACATCTTAAAAAAGATCGGGTTATTAAACGAGCGAATCCACGGTTATTAACAAACTTAGCTGCTTCCAATAGTCTTTGCCGTAGCTCAGCTACATTTCGAATCAGCTTGAAATACACTTTTTCTTTTACAGTTCCCCAGTAAAAAAAAATCTATTCAAATCTGGTGACGGGGCTGGCCACGGTATTGTACCAGACCGCCCTATCCATCTGCCTGGAAAGTTTTGATGGAGATAGTCTCTCACTGAGAGTGCATAGTGCGCTGGAAAGCCATCATGCTGAAACCACATGTCCCTGTAAATACTCAGTGGCACCTCCTCCAATAAATTTTCTAAATGTTTTGCAAAAAACCTAAATAAACCTCAGCAGTCAAAGTCTCTGGGAACTCAAACGGACCGATTATTTTACCATTTAAAATTCCTGTCCAATGGTTTATCTTGTCATCAAATGTGGGTTTGCTACGTGCCACTCGTGTAAGTTATGCAGGTTCATGTACCCATCTTTCTTAAATGTGGTCTCATCTGACCATAAAATTTTTTCAAAGAACCGTGGATCTTCCCTGTGTCTTTCTAACATTGTGCGACAAAACAACTCGGGGCTCATAATCCTGGGGCAGAAGAGCTTGAACACGCTGTACGTGGTATGAATGGAGCACGTTTTTTTGCAAAATTCTATGGGCTGTACTTTTGGGCACACCTGTTTTTAGTTCTATTGCACGCACTGACGTACCCAAGTCTTCTTCGACAGCTCCTAGCACCACGTCTTCGTAAGGAAGGAAAGATCTTCCCTCACCGTGTGATTGATTTGGTAGTTGGCCATCTCAGAACAGTAAGCGGTGCACATTTGTGAACACTCGATGATCTGGATGACGAGCTGCATTCGGGTACCTCTCACAGTAAAGTCTCGCTGCAGCACTAGCGTTGCATCTGCATTCCCCATAAATGAGGTGCATGTTAGCATATTCTTGTACGGTGTACACGAACATAGCGGCACTGCACAATCACACTATCAAAGATAGTCTAAGGAAAGCAAATGTTATTTTGAAGAGCAATTAAACAGTTCAAATCCAAATCACAAGCGATCAACAGTCCAGTTCACGAATCCAAAGTTAGTAACAGTACGAAATCAACAAGCACGAACATGTAATGATGCGCAGTAAACGATGAAGTACTGATCGGTATCAAAGTGTGCAATAGCGAGTAAGTGATGTGCTTCATCCATACCACATACAGCGTGTTCAACCTCTCCTGCCACGGGATTATGAGCCCCGAGTTGCTTTTTGTCGCACAATGTTAGAAAGACACAGGAAAGATTCACAGTTCTTTGAAAAAATTTTATGGTCGGATGAGACCACATTTAAGAAAGGTGGGTACATGAACCTGCATAACTTACACGAGTGGCACGTAGCAAACCCACATTTGATGAGAGAAGATAAATCTCAATATCGCTTCAAGATAAACCATTGGACAGGAATTTGAAATGGTAAAATAATCCGTTTGAGTTCCCAGAGACTTTGACTGCTGAAGTTTTTTGGGATTTTTGGAAAAATCACGTACAAAATTTATTGGTGGACGTGCCACTGAGTATTTACAGGGACATGTGGTTTCAGCATGATGGCTGCCCAGCGCACTATGCACTCTCAGTGAGAAAGTATCTCGATCAAAACTTTCCAGGCAGATGGATAAGGCGGTCTGGTACAATACCGTGGCCAGCCCGATCACCTGATTTGAATCCTTTAGATTTTTTTACTGGGGAACTGTAAAAGAAAAATTGTATTTCAAGCCGATTCAGAATGTAGCTGAGGTACGGCAAAGACTATTGGAAGCAGCTGAGTTTGTTGATAACCGTGGATTTGCTCGTTTAATAACCCGATCTTTTTTAAGAAGATGTCGAGCGTGTATTGCGGCTGAAGGAAAACAGTTTGAGCACTTGCTGTAAAGGTAAATCATCATCAGCAGCATTTTGACGCCCACTGTTGTGCAAACAGTTATCCTTAAGGGTCCTTGTGCGTTTTCATAATCGCTGTTTAATTATGAAATTTTGAAAAATTTTCATCAGTTTTTTTTCAAATAAAAATTGTGCATAAGTTAACGAGTAATCTTCTAAGTGTTATACTATTTTGGAATCGTTATTAAATGAGCCAACTTTTAAGGTTACTTGCCAAACTCTCGTAGTACATTTTTTTCCAGTACAGCCAGTTAAAGTTGAGCAAAGTTTTACTTTGGAATACTTGGTTGGGAAATAAGTGGCAATTTTTCCTGAACGAGAAAAGTTGGCAATAAGGTTGAGACACCAGTTTGAAGATGCATTATTCATCATTACATTGTAAAAATGAAATCCAAAAAAAGTTAATATTTGTAGTAACAGGAGTTGACAGACTGCCGTAGGGTGTGAAATTTCTATATCTTTTTCAAAGACCTATAATTTTCAAAACACATACATAAAATTTTTTAAATATTTTTCTGATAGCTGTTATGACTTTGCCTATCACCCGGTTTCGGCTTGACGTCGACTTCTGGGACACCCTGTATATATATATATATATATATACATATATATATATAATAAAATATTTTTCTCATACTTATTTTGACTATAAGGCATATTTATCGCTCAGTAGAATTATTTTTATTAGATCAATCTAATGTAGCATTTTGGCGCACCATTTCGTACCACCCTGTACATCTACTACATATAGTTAATAGCTTGAATTATCTTATTATAGATCTCCGAGAAGGTCAGCATATCCGGCTAGAATAGGCACATTACACAGCGATAGAATATCTGACCAACACCGACGTCATTACGACGATGATTACTATAGAAGTGACAAACCCAGGAGTAAAGTTGCTGTCGTTATAAAGAAAAGAAAACGTCCAACTGTAAGTTTTTCGATGAACTACAACCTATAAAAAGTAATCATAGTGATACTCAGATTTTTTGCTTGGTTTTGAATTACAATCCACATTTAACGTGGTATTATTTTACGTGGAGTAAACAGTATTCATCAATTATTACTTCCGACGTCAGTCCCCAAGGAAGTATTGTAATCGCAAAACATTTCGAAAATGAAATAGGTTTTGTGGATTTTATATGATTATATGACATATACATTACGAAAATCCATCCCAGTGAACATAATGAAGTCATAATGTCGGTATTCTTAGGGCACTACTGATGTACGTCGACCAACAAAAATGGTGTAGAAATTGACGTCATTGTATGACGTCCTAGTATGTCGTATAAAACACCAAATACAAAGTCGATATGACGTCTGTATGACGTGTGTATGACGTACATTCGCTCGCAAAAGTAATCGCGCGGTGTATCCAAATGCTCCTCAAATATTGAGGATGTAACAACGACGCCCCACAAGCAGTGAGTTCAGGTTTGGTAGAAAGGCGCAGAAACTTATATTCTACTAACTTACCACTCTTGAACTCTCTGGTTCCGAGACGTCGTTATCACCTTCGCAATTTTTCAGGAGCATTTGTACAAAGTGTGTCGAAATCTATCTATATAAAAATGAATCCCTATTTCGCGTGGTCACGCCATAACTTCAGAACGACTTTACCGATTTCATTAATTTTTTTTAAAAGTTTCCTAATGCTGTATAGAAGGTTCTTACGAAAAGAAAAATCAAGAGAATTACGCGGAAAATCGAGAAGTCAGTGAAAACCTAATGATTATTTAAGTTACGCGTGTTTGACAGTTTGCTTGATCATGGAGCTCGCACAGCTGAAGAAATATCTCAAGTACCAAAAGAGACAGGCACTCCTCTCCGCCATCTTTATTCCAACAGCTATTGACAGTTAGCGATGAGATAGAAAATTGCTTACGAAAACACGGTGCTTTCGTTTTTTGATTTCTTTACCATCCGTACTTTATGATGGCCCCTTCGAAAGAAACCGCAGTGCTGCCTAATTGTTGTCTTTGTCAGTTAACTCTAGAAATAAAAATGGCGTATGAAAATACGTTTCTTTTGCTTAATTGACTTTCATTGCTCCATTTTGAACTTGACAGCTCGCAGGCCGTTAGTTGATATTATCGTTTAACAGTGTTTAGCGATGAAAAAATATTGTTTTATTTAATTAGTAGTGCACAGTCCATTCGATTAGAGCTTTTGTCCAGTTGTCAGTTTGTTCAGTGAGTTTTGTGAGAAATAAGTATTTGTTCAAAAATAACACTGGTATGGACAAAACAAGGTGGTTATTATGTAAAACTTACCCAAAAAGCCAGAAATAGCATTCGATTTTGTCTATCACCCACGGTTTTACTGCAATAAGCCATTTTATTTGCTGCTTATGCTCGTAAAATATAAGGATATGTGTGTAAGAGTACTAATAAACAATAATCTCAGTATGTCGCCGATGTTTTACGGCGATAGGTTGCTCCTGAAGCATCTCTTAACAATGTCCAGCAATAATCAGCAAGCAAATTGACATTACATTTGCCTTGATACCGTTTTTCCATAGCAGAAATGTCTTGGTTGAACCGTTCACCATGTTCATCACTTACCGCACCTAAATTTTCCGGAAAAAAATCGAGATGAGAATCCAGAAAGTGAATTTGTAGAGACGTGTTACATCCCATTCCTTTATGAGCATTAATTAGTTCACTCACAATATCTTTATAATTGTCCGCCTTCACATTGCCTAATAATTTGCAGTAACTGATTTAAAAGCATTCCAAGCTCGAGATTCAGTTACATTTACTGTCAAATACATCAACCTTCATGATTTTCCGTATTTGTGGACCCACAAATATGCCTTTTTTAATTTTTGCCTCACTAAGTCTCGGAAATGTTTGTTTTAAATGCAGAAACCCTCTTCCATTTCGATCCATAGCTTTCACTAAATTTTTCATTAGTCCAAACATAATATGCAAAGGTTGAAGCAACACGTTTTTGGGATCAACTAGTGGTTCATGAGCAATGTTTTTGAGGCCCGGAGTTAATACCTGACGTAGTGGCCACTCCTTCAGTTCATAATGACGATCTCGCGCACGACTGTCCCATTCACAAAGAAAATGAACAGGCGCTAATCATTGGATCATTTTGTTTTAATGCGTCAAACAAATTGTTGACATCGGAGCAATATATCAACTCCCTTTCTTGACGGAAACAGTGTGTGAGATCTTGCCGTTTTCGGTGAAAAGTAATGTTAACATCACCGTCGAGAAGATTCCATCCTTTTAATCTTGATGCTAAAAGTTCTTACTGGGATTTTGACAGATTTAATTCTCGAACTAAGTCATTGAGTTCGGTCTGTGTGATCAAATGTGGCACTATTGCACATCCTGGCAGATCAAACAAAGGATCGTACCATCACTTTCAGAATCGGTGGATTCGACTTTTTCATCCAAAGACCAAGACTCTGGTGGAACTGGGACAGAAAGTTCATCACTATGCTTAACGGGCCGCAAAGCTGATGGTAAATTAAAATTCTTAACAGTATGTTTCGATTTTGGTCCAATACCTTTAATATTTCTGAGGCAAAAATAGCAATCAGTAGTATGGTCTCTCGGTTACCTCCAAACCATTGGTACCGCAAAGGGCATTTTACGTTTGTCGCCTCTTAACCAACCTGTTAACAACGTTACACAAGTCTTACAACATATATGAGGGGCCCATAGTTTATCTTGGTCGCCAACTTGAATTCCAAAATAAAGTTCGTATGCTTTCAACACAAGAGAAGTAAAAGTACGTTTTTGGGATTTAAAAGTTAGCTCTCCGCACACATAACAAAAACTGTTCGCTCTATTTACACAATTTCTAGGCATTGTCCATAAAGCTAGTCTCGATCACAATAAACTAAAAACAACACACCGTTTTAACAAAAATTAAGAGTACTCAGAACATCTCAGTACTCATCAACACAGAAAACGTAACTGACTCGGCTGCTATTAGTCTACTAATAAACGCAATATGCTCTCCACACATAGAGCTCACATATAGTAAACAGGAATAGACAGGTCTTAACATTCTATATGTGCGTCATCGCATAAACGCCGAGAAATGCAGCAATATGAGATGTTACCTATTGTAATTCATAAAAGTAGATGTTGATGACCGAATATCTGTGGGTGATAGAAAAATTCTGTTTATAGATTCGATTTAAGGGTCTCAAATAAAAAATACATGAAATACTCCCAAAGATTGTCATGTCACAAATCCTGTTTGTATCAGTGCAATTAACAAGGGTGGAAGTTAGTTCACCGCAATCACCCCTTATATTAAAATTGTGATTCTTCTGAATGCCACCAATTAGTAGCACCAACCTAGGTCGCAGAACTCGCAATGCAACAAGTCAAAGATATATACGAAGAAGTCAAACTGACGAGCAGTTGAACGGCATGGAAAGACTGAAATTCAACAACATAGAAGTGTCCCATTTAATCCCAATCGAGCTGAATTGAATTACGACGTGGCAACAGTTCACAACAAATCGTTGCTATTGGACCAATTAACGTTGTGAGTCCACATTGCAAGGCTTTTAAGTTGAAAAATGAAGCCCCTTTATTATGTTGTGTCAGTGGAAAGATCAAATTAACTCTATTGGTACCACCATCAGAGCCACTACATTCACTGGTTTCCAGAAATGGGCCAGATTCTATACATTTTTGACTCATATCCAGCAATACAATAGTTGCTTTCAAATGACGTCATTTGGCGCAACAAAATTTATTCCACATAATTTTACACGGCGGCATAAACACTTCGCTATACCTACATTCCATATGACATATTTACCCTTTTGTTATTAATTATTCATCCCAGTTCATAGCTAATGCCCGTATCGTCAGTCGTCCCTACAATTGTAGGGCGCGTTTATGGCCTCCTTGATTGTCATACTCCTTTCTCTCCTTCAAAAATTTCTAGATTACACTTGTCCCGTGTCAGCGTCAGCGCTCTCCTATTGTGAAGATATGTTTTCTTTTTAAATTGTAGGAAATTTCATGCTGATAAAACATGATATAACTCAAAAGCAAGCACAATTTGATGCAAATAGATGTTTGTGACATAACCTCAAAATAGAGTTCTGACACGGAGAAGTAGAAAAATATGACAATCAAGGAGGCCATAAAGGCGTCCTACAATTGTAGGGTCGACTGACGATATGGGCCTAAGACAGGACAACGTCTGTCGAGTCAGCTAGTGGTTAATAAAGAACTAAAAAAACACCGTTCCATCTCTATCACGTTCCAGTCCTCTGATGGTTCAGAATTTGTTTGTAGCGATTTATCAAAATCGCTTTGCTTCTTCACAGGAAGCCAATGCACTTCTTGTTGCTTGGGTGTCACTACCCTTGTGGCAATACTATCATCCCTACTAAATTGTACCACAATGTACGTTACGGACAAGGAATCCATCGTGGATGTAGGTTAAACCCATATATTTATAAAACAAAATGGCGGAACCATTGCCAAACGGTGAATTCGCAAGTCTTTTATTTTTTTTGTAGGTAAGAGTTGCTTTTTCATTACTAACTGTCCTAAAAAAAGACGTCAAAATGGCATCAATAAAGACGTCATTTTTTAGCCAATGACGTTTTCGTCCAAAAGTGACAGAATAATGACGTCCTTTTTGCGTCATCACGTTCACTGGGATGTCACTCATTTGCGTTAGTCTGCCTGTCTGTCGGTCTGTTGCTAGTAAGTTTAATGAATAAATTTAATACCAACCGAGTATTAAAGCCTATAGAAGATGCAACTTTTGGGTTGTCTATTTTTTTCCTTGGGGTAACTACTGGGTTGACAGGTCTAAACAGGTATATTGATACCAGTTATTTGCACTGATTTGTTTAATAAATATATCTTATCACAAAATAAGAACCATTTAATACCCTTTATATATACTACTAGGAGAAACCGCTTATTACTCATTATTCCAATAAGTTGAAGAATATGAGCCCCTTCCCACTTCAGTTGGCCCAACTATTGAAATCTTAGTTTATACGTTTAAAATAGTTTTGGGTAGTTAAGGTTTTCAAAATGGGTAGAGGAAAGGTTATTAGTGAGAAAATTCGGTTACTGATAATTAAATTTTTTAATTCTGGGAAATCAAACTCGGAAATTGCAACTTTGTTAGACTTATCGCGGTACAGTGTGAGAAATATTGTTAGAAGATATCAGTTAATATTAGGCCATGATATGTGAAAAAAAGTAATATCACAAATGCCGACCGAAGAGGATTAAGAAGAATAATCGTGAAATACAGGCGTGCCAATTATTTACAATTAAGTGCTCTGTGGAATGACGCTGTTGGAACGAGAATTTCGAGGTCCACAACTCATAGAGAGGCCCACAAACTGGGATTTAGCAGTTGTAAGGTAAGTTTTCTTATTAAAAAAAGTGAAGTAAAAACCCTAAAGTTGCACAACTTGTTTATAGGCCAAAGAAAAGGCACTATTAACTCCACTGCAAAAGGAGTAGGAAAACTTCATTTTATTGATGGAAATGTGGATACAAACAAATATTTGGCAATTTTAGAAGAATCGCTTTTACCAGTGATGGAAGAATGTTTGACATCCGGCAAAGATTTTGTGTTTCAGCAAGATGGTGCAGCGTGCCATACCTCAAAAAAGGCTATAAAATGGATGGAAGAAAATAATGTACCACTTCTGAAATGGGTTTCTAGCAGTCCAGATCTGTCACCTATTGAAACTTTGTGGCACGAGATGAAAAAGGTTGTACGACAACATCTTGCTGGTACAGTCACCGAACTGAGACAAAAGCTTCAAGAAATATGGGATTGTTTTACACCAAATTTTTGGCAAAACTTGGTTAACACTATGCCCCAAAGAATTTCAGCCGTAATAAAAAATAAAGGTGATGTTACCCAATGGTAATCTTTCAATTGTTGTTTTGTTAACTTCGTGCGTTTATTCGCACATTGTTTATTTGTTCAGATGTTCTATTAGTTATAGGTCTAAGAGATTTCAAATATGTATTTTTTACGACTAGAGTGTATCTGAAATGTTTTTGAGAAAATAAATTGTTTTAGAAGTAAATAGTTTCATGTTTAGTTTATAAAGGCATATTTTGGTACAAATCTTGAAGTGGGCCAACTGAAGTGGGAAGGGGCTCGTAGGTGTGATATAGTGATGCGACATTGTATATTTAGAAAACATTAAGCCCATCCTCGCTGGGGTTCCCTGGATGCGCCCATTGTCAAACGAGACGATGATGATATTATAGATATTCCAAGATTTCAACATTTACCTGGACGTTTCAGGTTCGGTCCGTGGTATTGCCTCGAGTCAGAAGAGCCTCTGCATCCGAGGAGTCGGAATCTGAAAGCTCCGAGTCAGATTCTAGCGAATCTTCAGAAAGTAGTTCATCTAGTGAAAGCGAGTCTGAATCGTCAGAGTCAGATTCTGAATCCGGGTCTGAATCGGAATCAGAATCTTCCGAGTCCGATTCTGATAGAAGGAAGAAGATTTACATCAAACAAGAGAACAGAAAAGACAGAAAACGACATAGAAGATAAAAGATAGGTCCAATTTTTCCATGATGAAATTAATGTAATTTTCCTTTATAATTGAGTATACAAATAAGGCAATTAACTCGAGTTTAAATATAATCATATGCTCCATAGTGCGTTTCTTGATTGATTAATTTATCGCGCTACTTTTAAAGAAAAGTGAACTTTTGAGTCAAACTGGTTCGAGCTGTTTTCAAATAAACTTGCAAAGTTATGAAAGAAAACGCTGTAAACCCGACTATATCCCTTAATCTACCCGACAACAGCGACACTTCCCTTTGATGTGTTTGCCAAATAAAGGAGGGGACACAAACCTTACGGAAAGCAGTTTCCGGTGAATCTTGCTCAAACTTTTTGAATAAGCTCTTCAGAGCATCGTCATTAAAAGTTCTTGCGGGCTCTTAATCCTATGAAGCGTTTACATGATATACAGGGTGTCTCAAGCATACGAGAATGGACTATTGCTCCCAAATCAAATTTTATCAAAGAAAACTATTTGTGGGTTATTATACATGGTATCCGAGGGCACATCTCTAGAATACTCACAATTATACAGGGTGTCCAAATCTTGCCCCACATCAAAAGTATTTGATTTAAATGGAAGCTCCTACTTTTATCACACGGCCCTTTTAAAAAGAACACTGATATACTAAGTGACATATAAATCCGAACACCCAGTTTAAATGGTTTTCTTTTAATAAAATTTTGTATAAGTACTTAATGAAGCATAATAAGTAAATGATAAAAATTTCAAAATGATTGCACTGCTTTAAAGCCCTTTGACCTTTAATAATGTGTGGATGCACCCTGATGTGCTACGCATTCTCCAACGCGCCTAGGCATGCTTCTGATCAGGTGGTCAATGTCCTCCTGTGGTATCTCATTCCATTCAACCACCAACTCCTCTCGAAGTGCTTCTAGAGTCTGAGGAGGACGCTGCAAATTGAGCAATCTCCTACCCATCATATCCCACACGTGCTCAATTGGGGATAAGTCGGGAGATCTTGGTGGCCATGGTAACAATGTGACATCATTATGTTGAAAGAAGTATATTGTGACTCTTGCAACATGTGGTCGGGCATTATCTTGTTGGAAAGTTGGATCTGCCAGGGTGTCAAGATAGGGTAAAAGATGGGGTTCTAGAACTTCGTGGATATAACGCTGCGCGTTCATGTTACCTCTGATGAAGATTAAAGGTGACCTGGAACCATAAGCTATAGCACCTCAAACCATAACTCCAACAGTGTGATGAACATGTCTTTCAACAAAAAACTGTGGATTCCTCATTTCACCACGTCGCCTTCTAACCCTGGCACGACCATCGTGCATGCCTAAACAAAATCGAGACTCGTCACTAAAGACAATACTGTTCCATTCCTGATCCCAGAGTGACCGTTGTCTGCACCACTCAAGGCGATTACGTCGGTGTTCTCGAGTTAAAGGGAGGACCCAGTGTGGCCGGTATGAAAACAAGCCAAAACTTCTCATTCGTCGGTAAACACTTCGCATGCCAATAGGTCTTCCGTGTTCTGCAAACCATTCATTTGCAATGGATCTGGTAGTGGAGAAACGTTCCCTTAAGGCCAATAATCTTAGGCGGCGATCTTTACGGTCTGTTGTTCTACGGCGGCGTCCAGTGCCCCTTGCTGTTTGCGTACGGCCTTCTCGAAGCCCTAACCACAGTGTCTACACTTCTTTGCACTCTAACTGCAATTGCCCGAAAAGAAAGTTCAGCTTCCCGAAGTCCCACTATACGGCCCCTATCAAACTCACTAAGTTGACGAAATCGTACAGGTCTCCGTACTCTAGGCATCGTAACCGATCGTAAAGGATGTCAAGAACCAAAATCTGCCAACGTTGATTCTTTACTGCGGCTGAAATATTCATTTTTAGAGCGTTAGTGAATTAAAAAAAGCAGTATAAAAACCGGAATGTCCAACTGATAAGGCTGAAAATTTTTTCACTTGTTATTTACAGTAAGATAAATACATTCACCAACTTTTATTAAAATAAAACCATTTAAACTGGGTGTTCGGATTTATATGTCACTTAGTATATTTGTGCGTTATTATACATGGAATCCGAGGGGCACATCTCTAGAATACTCACAATTATACAGGGTGTTCCAATCTTGCTCCACATCAAAAATATTTGATTTAAATGGAAGCTCCTACTTTTATCACACGGCCCTTTTAAAAAGAACACTGATATAACCGACTTATGCTTTTGATTATTAGTTATTGGGATATTTGTCTAAAAAAACATCAAAGTTTGACTAGCTGCATCTCTTTTGTCTTGACAGTTTGCATTAGTGTAGGCATATAGGTCAATATATTGATGAAAGGAAAACATAGGTAGTTAGAATTTTGCAGATTTGACCACGACCATAACCTTCAAGGTCATCTCAAAGTCAAGCCACATCTTTTCGATGGGACGCTTTTTGATATTACACACACGCTACAAATATAACGAAGCAATCCGGAATGCCAAAGACCAGCACAATATAAAAGTTAGGCACTGGGTAATGTCGCAGCCCAATGGCAGTCGATCTTTCTAGACGCTGGCCAAGCAGATTGAAAGGAACTTCTCACAAAGTAGCCTGCCACCACTTACGTGTCAGGATGGAACGGTTGTAACCCACTCAAAAGCTAAGGCGAAAGTACTTGCCAATATCTTTCGGTCTTGGCTCCGACACTGTTTCTCTTACATATCAACGACCTCTTTTCCTGCACGATCAACCCAATCCACAGCTTCGCTGATGACAGCACTCTACATGCAGGAATTCAGAGTGACAAGCCGATCTCTGCCACTGAGTTGGAAAAAAGAAGACTAGCGATGACTTCCTCTATGATAAGAGACCTGCAGGCTATCACTGCTTGGGGACGCAACAATCTTGTACAGTTCAATGTTTCCAAACCGCAGTACTGTACTTTGACGAACAAAAAGCGTCCCTGCGCTCACCCGGTTTCGATGGAATGGTCGAGTTCTGCCAAAGAGCCATTCATTTCGGCTGGTCGGAGTCCAGATCATCGAGGACCTGATCTGGCCCGAACACATCTCGTCAATAGCTGCAGCTGCTGGGAAAAAGCTAGGCTATTTGTTTAGGGCTAAGAAGTACTTTTCTCCGCATGACCTTCTCACTCTATACAAGGCCCAGATAAGGCCTAGCCTCGAGTATTGCTCATACGTTTGGGGTGCTGTCGCCCCGACTACATTATCCATGGTCGATGCTGTCCAGAGGAGGGCGGTCCGACTGATCGATGACTCTTCTCTAACAGACAGTCTCGGGACTCTTTCGCACCGGCGCACATATGGGTATTTCACCGATCTGGCTGGCCAAAATTATTGTTCCCGCTATTATGAAATTTTAAGGTTTATATGTTATTTTATCTTGAGATAAATAACTTGTGTCTGATAAGTTTTTTAAAAAAAACAATTGAGTGCAGATATTTTTTTATTTGCGAGGAACACTTTATTTAAATTCAATTAAAACAATATAATTAACTAGACCATGATTAGGGGCATGGTTCGTCGTCTGATTCATTCTCTTCTTTGTCTGTAAGCTCTTCTGAGTCTGAATTATCCATATTTGTGTTTATATCGGCTGGAATCAACATTTCAATAGCTTCTTTCGAAAAAGAAGTCAAGATGTCAAGATTGCACTCTACTCTTGAAAATTTTCGTGCAAAGCTATTCGGTACATCCTAAAATATTTGTTACGGGCTTCAGCGGCCTCTTCGGATAGCATCCCGATTGGCAATAACGCTTTCTCCATAACTGTTGCCCCATGCAAAAGAATTTTGTGCATTGTTGGGGTCATAGGATGCGACGAATATAAAGAAATATAAATTTTTGCAGTTTCAAAACAATAGTCAGCAAATTTTTTTAAATCGACTTTGTGGCCACTTGAAATCACTTCCAAAATTATTTTGAGTCTATAAATTAAATTGAAATCAACTCCAGTGATTTCACTTGCTTTTTGTGGATCGTCGACTGGTGTTGCCGTCATTGGTGTTACCAAAATTAGCTTTAGGTACATCTACTATTAAGCCTGTTTCTTCCCTAAATACTTTTTGTATTTCAACTTTTCTTTCTTTAACAACAGTCTTGTCAGCTTCGGATCATAACTGCCATTTTTTTACAGGTAATTTGTAAGAACGGTGTAATATACGAGTACGTTCGAATAACCTGATTCTCGCATGCAAAATGGACAAACCAAATGATAAAGCGTCACTATCCACATCTCTCTTAATGGAAATGTCGTTAAAAAGCTTTGGTGTTGCTCCACATATAACATTTCATGGTAGACGCTGTCTGTGTGGCAGCGTTGCACACCTTTCCATCTACCATAGTAAATGCCATGGTATGTTTTACACTCGCAGATATCCCTTCTCTCGTAAATACGCTGTTCTCTAATGCATCAATTTGATTTTGAATGTATTTGATTTCATTGTTTGTAGTATCAGTAGTCTCTTTTATAAACCTGATCCTAATCGGTCGACAGTATCTTGGAGATGATGAGGTTGGATTCTGCCAAATAATTTTCTTTTTTTTTTGCCACACACTAACTGAAGGGGAACTAGGCAACTTTGAAAAATATTGGAATCTGTGTCGTCATTGTTTTGCATTTTTTGCTTGAACTGGGATTGCTGCGATCCATCGCAGCCCCATTTAGTTATCAGCTCTAATCTGTCACGTTCTTTTTGTGTAAGGTTAGTTAAGACCTCTTGCAAATATACCAAAAGTCGTGTTACTGTATGGTTTGGCTAGTGCTGCAGTTCAATTTCGGCGCATGTTTCACTTACATGATATGACTCTTTTTGCGGATAGCACTTACGTTTTTCCTTTTGCAATATGGTATAACAAGGATAATATTTCTTATTTGAATCTCGTATTACTTCGTACTGTTTTCTGGAAAGATCCGCTTCCACAAACATTGAGGTATAAGTTGTGTTGCGTTGACTTGCAAATGTGTTGCATAAGCTTTTTTGTACTTAGTACCTCGTTTTGGAGACTAATTCAGTGAGAACTTGTGATGCGTCTCTATTCCCAGAACTCTGCAAACTCACCTTTGCAGCATGAACGAGAGCCTCTTTACTTACGGTGTTTCGTAGTTGCTCTGTTTTTCTCCTTCTACTTCTTTCAGATAACTCACTAAATGGTTTTAATGGTCGACCAACACGTCCATGGGAAGATTTAGGTATCTGGAATGTTCCTTGCAGCCAATCAGCATTCTCTTTTAAGAATTTGTCTTCTTGCCTATT